TGCTCTCCAGCCCTCGTTAAGGACAGCAGCTACTATAGAACACCAAGCTGCTCTCCAGCCCTCGTTAAGGACAACAGCTACTATAGAACACCAAGCTGCTCTCCAGCCCTCGTTAAGGACAGCAGCTACTATAGAACACCAAGCTGCTCTCCAGCCCTCGTTAAGGACAACAACTACTATAGAACACCAAGCTGCTCTCCAGCCCTCGTTAAGGACAGCAGCTACTATAGAACACCAAGCTGCTCTCCAACCCTCGTTAAGGACAACAGCTACTATAGAACACCCAAGCTGCTCTCCAGCCCTCGTTAAGGACAACAGCTACTATAGAACACCAAGCTGCTCTCCAGCCCTCGTTAAGGACAACAGCTACTATAGAACACCAAGCTGCTCTCCAGCCCTCGTTAAGGACAACAGCTACTGTAGAACACCAAGCTGCTCTCCAACCCTCGTTAAGGACAACAGCTACTGTAGAACACCAAGCTGCTCTCCAGCCCTCGTTAAGGACAGCAGCTACTATAGAACACCAAGCTGCTCTCCAGCCCTCGTTAAGGACAACAGCTACTATAGAACACCAAGCTGCTCTCCAGCCCTCGTTAAGGACAACAGCTACTATAGAACACCAAGCTGCTCTCCAGCCCTCGTTAAGGACAGCAGCTACTATAGAACACTAAGCTGCTCTCCAGCCCTCGTTAAGGACAGCAGCTACTATAGAACACCAAGCTGCTCTCCAGCCCTCGTTAAGGACAGCAGCTACTATAGAACACCAAGCTGCTCTCCAGCCCTCGTTAAGGACAACAGCTACTATAGAACACCAAGCTGCTCTCCAGCCCTCGTTAAGGACAACAGCTACTGTAGAACACCAAGCTGCTCTCCAGCCCTCGTTAAGGACAGAAGCTACTATAGAACACCAAGCTGCTCTCCAGCCCTCGTTAAGGACAACAGCTACTGTAGAACACCAAGCTGCTCTCCAGCCCTCGTTAAGGACAACAGCTACTGTAGAACACCAAGCTGCTCTCCAGCCCTCGTTAAGGACAACAGCTACTATAGAACACCAAGCTGCTCTCCAGCCCTCGTTAAGGACAGCAGCTACTATAGAACACCAAGCTGCTCTCCAGCCCTCGTTAAGGACAGCAGCTACTGTAGAACACCAAGCTGCTCTCCAGCCCTCGTTAAGGACAACAGCTACTATAGAACACCAAGCTGCTCTCCAGCCCTCGTTAAGGACAGCAGCTACTATAGAACACTAAGCTGCTCTCCAGCCCTCGTTAAGGACAACAGCTACTATAGAACACCAAGCTGCTCTCCAGCCCTCGTTAAGGACAACAGCTACTATAGAACACCAAGCTGCTCTCCAGCCCTCGTTAAGGACAGTAGCTACTATAGAACACTAAGCTGCTCTCCAGCCCTCGTTAAGGACAACAGCTACTATAGAACACTAAGCTGCTCTCCAACCCTCGTTAAGGACAACAGCTACTATAGAACACCAAGCTGCTCTCCAGCCCTCGTTAAGGACAGCAGCTACTATAGAACACCAAGCTGCTCTCCAGCCCTCGTTAAGGACAACAGCTACTATAGAACACCAAGCTGCTCTCCAGCCCTCGTTAAGGACAACAGCTACTATAGAACACCAAGCTGCTCTCCAGCCCTCGTTAAGGACAGCAGCTACTATAGAACACTAAGCTATAGCTACTAGATACCTTGACCACGTTTCTCCTGCTCTTCCTTGCACAGTGTCAGTCCTCATTCATCTTTGAGTGGTTGGTATTTTGTTATTCAATTATTTCCTAATTCGTTTGTTTAGTAAAAATCGTCAAAATCTTATATTGGTGCAAGTCAATATTAGGAAGGTGTTCCTGATGTTTTGTTCACTCAGTATATGTAACGTGGCACTACAGTGCTGTCTTCTGTTGAACCAGAGGAAATGTGGACTAGGCTACTATTGAACCAGAGGAAATGTGGACTAGGCTACTATTGAACCAGAGGAAATGTGGACTAGGCTACTATTGAACCAGAGGAAATGTGGACTAGGCTACTATTGAACCAGAGGAAATGTGGACTAGGCTACTATTGAACCAGAGGAAATGTGGACTAGGCTACTATTGAACCAGAGGAAATGTGGACTAGGCTACTATTGAACCAGAGGAAATGTGGACTAGGCTACTATTGAACCAGAGGAAATGTGGACTAGGCTACTATTGAACCAGAGGAAATGTGGACTAGGCTACTATTTATCACATTTATAGTAGAGAGGAATCATATTTATTAAAAAGCAAGACATCATGTACCATAGCCTGTTAATAGAGCCCCACTGTGGCAGTGTCATAATACCCAGAAATCCTAGCGGTCAAACAGGGAAATGGTAGTTTTTCCACCATTCATTTTTCCCATAGGGGATTTTAGAAACACAAAATAAGGGCTGTGTTTTGTGTAGTCTTACCCTGGCGTGACGTTTTGATAACCGTGTAAATCTCTCTAGGACAAGGTGACTTTTATCAATTACTCTCAGATTAGAAAATGCTAATCAGCATCAAAGTAGACATCATGCAAAACTACAAATCCCTGCAAGCTCCTGCATGTCACCTCTAGCTGAGACCTTTGCTGACAGGTATTGTGTCAATTTAAAACTTGCACAAGTCAGTTCAAAACTACATTTAGCTAACATTAGATAGTTAATCCAGAGATTCTTACCTTTGCCTCGATTCGGCTGTCTCGTCCAGATCATCAAGGCATTTGTAGTTCTTTATGATAGCCACATTAGCAGCTATTGTAATTAGCATTTCATTTTGTGGGGGTAAATACAGGTGAATATATTGATGAAAGTCACCTTATCCTAAAGAGATTTACACGGTTATCAAAACGTCATGCCAGGGTAAGTCTACACCAGTGGAGGATCCTCAGAGGAGGAAGGGGAGGACCATCCTCCTCAGTGAATTTCAGAAATATAAAAATGGTAAAACATTGAAAGATATCCTTTTTAGATAAAACTATCTGAAATATATTAATGTCACCAAATAATTGATTAAAACACACTGTTTTGCAATGAAGGTCTACAGTAGCCTCAACAGCACTCTGTAGGGTAGCACCATGGTGTAGCCGGAGGACAGCTAGCTTCCGTCCTCCTCTGGGTACATTGACTTCAATATAAAACCTAGGAGGCTCATGGTTCTCACCCCCTTATATAGACTTACACAGTAATTATGACAACTTCAGAGCTCTTGCAGCATGAACTGACATGTTGTCCACCCAATCAAAGGATCAGAGAATGAATCTAGTACTGAAAGCATAAGCTACAGCTAGCTAGCACAGCAGTGCATAATATGTGGTGAGTAGTTGACTCAAAGAGAGAGAAAGACAATAGTTGAACAGTTTTTAACAAATTAATTTATTCCAAAATGAAGGAGAAGTAAGAGAGAGTCATTTTTTTCCACTTTCAGTTTCACTTACTTAGCTAGCAAATGCAGCTGCCTAGTTTAGTTACTCAAACACCCGGCTCAAACAAAGGGATGCTATGTTAGCCAGCTGGCTATGACTATCCAACACAACACTGGAACTCTTCCAAGTCAAGGTAAGCTTTTGGTTTTATTAATTTATTGCCACCGGGGCCGCTTGTGTAACTGCTTACACTGTAATGTTACTGCATGATTATAGAGGGTTTACTAACACATTAGTTCTATTAGCTACGTTGACTAGGACGTTACTTTAGCTAATATGATGACAACGGTGTAGACTGTGTAGCGGTTATGACATGGTTTGGCTTGGAAAGGTTTTTTCACCTGGTCACATACAGCTGATGTGTTGTGCATTGAAGTCCACAAACAAAGGGAAGAGGTGAGAGGAGGAGAGTGCATAGATGCTAGAATGAATACAACGTGGCTGCTATGAAAGTGAACTGTGTTTATGCGTGATCAGGGGTGTATTCATTCGGCCGATTCTGTTGAAAAACTTTTCTTAAATGGAAGCAAACGAAACAGGGATAAAAAAATACCTGAATTTGTCCAATAGAAACTCTCGTTTGCAACTTTTGGACTAATGATTACACCCTAGATCTGCTAGATCCAGGTAAGCGTGTGCAAGGAGGTATTGAACGTGTCACTGTCATCTCAAATGTATCTCTTGACCTGTGTGCACCTACGTTGTAAACTTTTATTCATAGGCTAGGTTGTAGCAACCTCATGATGGGTACAGGGAACATTAGAGTATCATGTAGTAGCCTAAACCTATCGCTGTTACATTGAACTGGGTGGATGGAATATGAATGACAGTCATCCAACATGCTGTAATAGAAATAAGGCCTTGCTCATAATAAACGGCACTGACTGCCATTGGCCTTCACGAAACACAGCCCTTATTTAAGTGTTTAAAATCCCCTATGGGAAAAATGAATGGTGGAAAAACGATTGGAACCATTTCCTTGTTTGACCGCCAGGTTTTATGGGTATTATGACTCATACGGAGGTACTCTATAAAGGTATTTCACAACTTTTACAGCATTGGTGAAATGTGAATATATTATACTGTAAATCTCATTATATTGATAAATTCTATACATGTGGCATTTTCCAGCAATATAATTTAAGGGTTAAGGGTTAAGGGTTACAATGGAAGATACCCATGTCTTTTCTGTAGAGTTACAACACAAGGTTGCCTTGATATAAAAACAGCCTTGATATAGCACAGTACATATTCCTGTTTACTTTCCTAACAGTTTAAAAAGCATTTCTTTATTTCATGAGAAAATCATTCCTCAGGTAGAGGTGATGTCTTCTGCTAAAGTACAACAGAACATAGCTATAGAAGTTTACCACATTTCTGTTTCTTAAGTCTCTCTGTTTTCCTTCAATACAAAAAGCTAAAAACAGATATACATACATACTGTATTAGAAACAATTAGCCACAGTTCAAATGTTCTAAGTCATTCTGGTCCAGTTGCTCTCTACTTTCTAGTCTAATGGAAAACCTTAAGCTGTTCCTCTGTCGGTTTTACACAAAGGTGCTGTCTGTTAGGAGGAGCCCTGTGAGGAGGGGCTCCTGTCTGAGTTCTCCGTCTCGCCCTCTGAGATGGCCTGCATGGGGGCCGGGTGGTGTCTGCTGCGGATGCTGTAGTGGCTGCTGGTGGCTGGCGGAGGGACGCGGGACCGGCTCTGTCTGAAGGAGGCTGCAGGGGACATGCCTTTAGGAGACAAGCCCTCTGTGAAGGGGCTGGGGAGCTTCTCCGTGCCTGGCGGAGGGGAGAGGGGCTCCTCCAGCGTGGGCAGGTGGTCTCCAGGGGACTTGTGGCCGATGGGGCTCTTCAGGATCTCTGTGGCCGACATGCGGTAGCTGGAGTCTGAGCGGCTGCCTTTCTTCAGGAGCAGTAGTTTGAACTCCTCGTTGGAGGTGGAGGACTTCTTCAGACTGCGGTAGATGGGTCCTGGGGCCTTCTGGGGGCCAGTCGGGGTGCTGGGGGTCACCAGAGAGGTCACAGTGTTGCCAGGTGGGTTGACGGGGGTACAAGGTGAGGTGCTCCCAGATGCAGCACACAGACGGCTCCGGGCATTTAACTCTCCAGAGTCCTTCCTACCTAAAACTTTCCTCCTGGATCTATGAAGGACAGTGGAACAGTGGTTAGGGTTATAGATAACAGAACAGTAGTTAGGGTTATAGATAACAGAACAGTAGTTAGGGTTATAGATAACAGAACAGTAGTTAGGGTTATAGATACCAGAACAGTGGTTAGGGTTATAGATAACAGAACAGTAGTTAGGGTTATAGATACCAGAACAGTAGTTAGGGTTATAGATAACAGAACAGTAGTTAGGGTTATAGATAACAGAACAGTAGTTAGGGTTATAGATAACAGAACAGTAGTTAGGGTTTATAGATACCAGAACAGTAGTTAGGGTTATAGATAACAGAACAGTAGTTAGGGTTATAGATAACAGAACAGTAGTTAGGGTTATAGATAACAGAACAGTAGTTAGGGTTATAGATAACAGAACAGTAGTTAGGGTTATAGATAACAGAACAGTAGTTAGGGATATAGATAACATAACAGTAGTTAGGGTTATAGATAACAGAACAGTAGTTAGGGTTATAGATAACAGAACAGTAGTTAGGGTTATAGATAACAGAACAGTAGTTAGGGTTATAGATAACAGAACAGTAGTTAGGGTTATAGATAACAGAACAGTAGTTAGGGTTATAGATAACAGAACAGTGGTTAGGGTTATAGATAACAGAACAGTAGTTAGGGTTATAGATAACAGAACAGTAGTTAGGGTTATAGATAACAGAACAGTAGTTAGGGTTATAGATAACAGAACAGTAGTTAGGGTTATAGATAACAGAACAGTGGTTAGGGTTAGAGATAACAGAACAGTAGTTAGGGTTATAGATAACAGAACAGTAGTTAGGGTTATAGATACAGAACAGTAGTTAGGGTTATAGATAACAGGACAGTGGCTAGGGTTATAGATAACAGAACATTAGTTAGGGTTATAGATAACAGAACAGTGGTTCGGGTTATAGATACAAAGAAGTATTTAGGTTATAGATAACAGAACAGTAGTAGGGTTATAGATACAGAACAGTATTTAGGGACTGGGTGTATCAGAACTTAGTTAGGGTTATAGATAACAGAACAGTAGTGTAGGGTTTTAGATCAACAGATCCACAAACAGTAGTTTAGGGTTATAGATAACAGACGTAGTAGGGTATAGACAACAGAACAGTAGTTAGGGTTAAAAATAGATCAACAGAACAGTATTTATGGTTTCTAGATAACATAACAGTAGTTAGGGTTATAGATAACAGACAGTCATTTTTGGTTTTTTTGTGGGTTTTTTAGGTGTATAGATAACATAACCTAGTTAGGGTTATAGCTAACAGAAACAGTAGTTAGGGATCAGATACCGAACATAGTTTAGGGTTTATAGATAACAGAACAGTATTAGGGTTATAGATAACAGAACAGTAGTTAGGGTTGTAGATACAAAACAGTAGTTAGGTTGAAGATAAACCCAACAGTAGTTAGGGTTAAGATAACACAACAGTAGTTTAGGGTTATAGATAAGAACAGTATTTAGGGTTATAGATAACAGAACAGTAGTTAGTTATAGATAACAGAAACAGTAGTTAGGGTTATAGATAACAGAACAGATAGTTAGGGTTATAGATACCAGAACAGTAGTTAGGGTTAGATACATAACACAGCAGTTAGGGTTTAGATAACAGAACAGTAGTTAGGGATTAATAACAGAACAGTATTTAGGGTTATAGATAACAGAACAGTAGTTAGGGTTATAGATAACCAACAGTAAGTTAGGGTTATAGATAACAGAACAGTCGTTAGGGTTTCCTAACAGAACAGTTAGTTCGGGATCAGATAACAGAACAGTAGTTAGGGTTATAGACAGAACAGTAGTTAGGGTTTATAGATACCCACAACAGTAGTTAGGGTTATAGATACAGAACAGTAGTTTAGGTTCTAGAACACACAACCGGTAGTTAGGTTATAGATAACAGAACGTAGTTTTAGGGTTATAGATAACAGAACCTGTTAGGGTTATAGATAACCAGAACAGTAGTTAGGGTTATAGCTAACATAACATTAGTTAAGGGAGATAGTAGAACAGAACATAGTTAGGGTTATAGATAACAGAACAGTAGGTAGGAGGGTTATAGATCACCGAACAGTAGTTAGGGTTATAGATAACAAACAGTAGTTTAGGGTTATAGATCACAGAACAGTAGTTAGGGTTATAGATAACAGAACATGGTTATGGTTATAGATACGACTAGTTATGGTTATAGATACAGAACAGTATTAGGGTTATGATAACATAACACTAGTTAGGGTTATGATACAGAAAAGTATTAGGGTTATAGAATAACAGACAAGTAGTTAGGGTGTTATAGATAACAGAACAGTGGTTAGGGTTATGATTAACAGAACAGTATTTAAAGGGTTATAGATACCATAACAGTAGTTAGTGTTATAGATACCAGAACCGTGTTTAGGGCATATAGATAACGAAACAGTAGTTTAGGGTAAGATAACAACAGTAGTTAGGGTGATAGATTAACGAACAGTGGTTAGGGTTATCGATAACAGAACAGTTTAGTTAGGGTTATAGATAACAGAACAGTAGTTAGGGTTATAGAGAACAGAACGTAGTTAGGGTTTAAGATAACAGAACAGTAGTTAGGGGTTATAGATAACAGAACAGTAGTTAGGGTATAGATAACAGAACAGTAGTTAGGGTATAGATAACAGAACAGTAGTTAGGGGTTATAGATAACAGAACAGTAGTTAGGGTTATAGATACCAGAACCAGTAGGTTATGGGTTATAGAACAGAACAGTAGTTTAGGGTTATAGATAACAGAACAGTAGTTAGGGTTATAGATAACAGAACAGTAGTTAGGGTTATAGATACAGAACAGTAGTTAGGGTTATAGATAACAGAACAGTAGTTAGGTTATAGATAACCAGGAACAGTAGTTAGGGTTATAGATCAACAGAACAGTATTTAGGGTTTATAGATAACAGAAACAGTTAGTTGGGTTATAGGATAACAGAAACAGTAGTTCGGGTTATAGCATAACAGAACAGTGAGTTAGGGTTATAGATAACAGAAACAGTAGTTAGGGCTTATAGAGATAACAGCAACAGTAGTTAGGTTATTAGATAACAGAAAACAGTGTTAGGGTTATAGTTAACAGAACCGTAGTTAGGGTTATAGATAACAGAACAGTATTTAGGGTTATAGATAACCAACAGTCTTAGGGTATGATAACAGAACAGTAGTTAGTGTTTTGATAACAGAACAGTAGTTAGGTTTATAGATAACAGAAACAGTAGTTGGGTTATAAGATACCAACAGTGGTTAGGGTTATAGATAACAGAACAGTATTTAGGGTTATAGATAACAGAACATTAGTTAGGGTTATAGATAACAGAACAGTAGTTAGGGTTTTCATAACAGTAACCATTAATTTAGGTTATAGATAACAGAACAGTAGTTATGGTGTTATAATAACATAACAGTATTTAGGGTTATAGGTACCAAACGTAGTAGGGTTCTAGATAACAGACCATATTTCAGGGTTATAGATAACAGAAACATTAGTTTTTTAGGGTTATAGATAACGACAGTAGTTAGGGTTATAGATAACAGAACGTTAGTTAGGGTTATAGATAACAAACGTAGTTAGGTTATAGATCACCGAACAGTAGTTAGGGTTATAGATACATAAATAGTTATGGTATAGATACCATAACAACTAGTTAGGGTTATAGATAACAAGAACAGTAGTTAGGGTTATAGATAAAGAACAGTAGTTAGGGTTTAGATAACAGAACAGTAGTTTTAGGGGTTAGGATAACAGAACAGTAGTTAGGTATAGATAACAGAACAGTAGTTAGGGTTATAGATAACAGAACAGTAGTTAGGGTTATAGATAACAGAACAGTAGTTAGGGTTATAGTTAGGACTGGGTAACAGGGTTACATTTGTAAAAGTTAGAGCAGCCGTGTTTCTTTCTGGCAAAACAAGGTTGTTAGCTTTGTGACAAATCAAACTATCAGCAGAAACCCACCTGTGTATCATGGTAAACAGCTCCTCTGTAGTACGTGCCTTGGTGGGCGACAGAAAGACATCACCCTCAGCCTTGGTCTCCTCACTTAGAGGAAAGATAGAGTTGTCACTGGGTCTGGAATCTGGAAAACAGGGGTGGGCTGGATTCATGTACAAGACAAAGCTTGATTGGTTTAAAGGCAATCCTTAATTTAGGCTAGCGTCTAGACTATTTAAAAAAGGATTTCCTGTCTTCTAGTAAATGACAACGGCTGTCCTTTACTGCAGTAGCCCTGCTCTGTGTCTGTGGTGGTCTCTGGGGTAGTCTCTGTGTCTGGGGTAGTGTCTGGGGTAGTGTCTCTGTGTCTGGGGTAGTGTCTGGGGTAGTCTCTGTGTCTGGGGTAGTGTCTGGGGTAGTGTCTCTGTGTCTGGGGTTGTCTCTGTGTCTGGGGTAGTCTCTGTGTCTGGGGTAAGTCCTGGGGTAGTCCTCTGTGTCTAGGGTGGTCTCTGTGTCTGGGGTGGTCTCTGTGTCCTGGGGTGGTCTTCTGTGTCCTGGGGGTAGGCTCTGTGTCTAGGGTGTCTCTGTTTCGGGGTGGTCGCTGTGTCTGGGGTAGTGTCTGGGGTAGTCCTCTGTGTCTGGGGTGGTCTCTGTGTCTGGGGTATTTCATCTGTTCTGGGTAGTCTCTGTGTCTGGGGATCCTCTGTGTGCGGGGTATTGTCCTCGGTGTCCCTGGGGTTGGTCTCTTGTCTGTGTAGTCTCTGTGTCTGGGGTATGTCTGGGGTAAGTCTCTGTTCCGGGTGGTCTCTGTCTGGGGTAGTGTCTGGGGTAGTCTCTGTGTCTGGGGTGGTCTCTGTGTCTGGGGTAGTCTCTGTGTCTGGGGTAGTCTCTGTTGTCTGGGTGGTTCTCTTGTTGGGTAGTGTCTGGGGTGGTCTCTGTGTCTGGTGTAGTCTCTGTGTCTGGGGTGGTCTCTGTGTCTGGGGTAGTCTCTGTGTCTGGGGTAGTCTGTCTAGGGTAGTGTCTCTGTGTCTGGGGTTGTCTCTGTGTCTGGGGTGGTCTCTGTGTTTGGGGTAGTCTGTCTAGGGTAGTGTCTCTGTGTCTGGGGTTGTCTCTGTCTGGGGTGGTCTCTGTGTCTGGGGTTGTCTCTGTGTCTGGGGGTAGTCTCTGTGTCTGGGGTAGTCTCTGTGTCTGGGGTAATGTCTCTGTGTCTGGGGTGGTCTCTGTGTCTGGGGTAGTGTCTGGGGTAGTCTCTGTGTCTGGGGTGGTCTCTGTGTCTGGGGTAGTGTCTGGGGTGGTCTCTGTGTCTGGGGTGGTCTCTGTGTCTGGGGCAGTGTCTGGGGTAGTGTCTCTGTGTCTGGGGTTGTCTCTGTGTCTGGGGTGGTCTCTGTGTCTGGGGTTGTCTCTGTGTCTGGGGTAGTCTCTGTCTGGGATAGTCTGTGTCTGGGGTAGTCTCTCTGTGTCTGGGGTAGTCTGTGTCTGGGGTAGTCTGTGTCTGGGGTAGTCTGTGTCTGGGGTAGTCTGTGTCTGGGGTAGTGTCTCTGTGTCTGTGATAGTCTCTGTGTCTGGGGTAGTCTCTGTGTCTGGGGTAGTCTCTGTGTCTGGGGTAGTCTCTGTGTCTGGGGTAGTCTCTGTGTTTGGGTAGTCTTGGGTAGTCTCTGTGTCTGGGGTAGTCTCTGTCTAGGGTGTCTGGCGTGGTCTCTGTGTCAGGGGTGTGTGGGGTAGTCTCTGTGTCTGGGGTGTCTGGGGTAGTCTCTCTGTCTGGGGTGTGTTGGGTAGTCTTTGTGTGTGGGGTAGTCTCTGTCTGGGGTGTGTGGGGTAGTCTCTGTGTCTGGGGTAGTCTCTGGGGTGGACCCTTCCTCTACTAGTATAGTGTCCTCCTGAGAGGCACTAACGGTTGGAACTCCTGATGACTTACACTCCTCTTCTCTGCCAGCCGCATCGCTGATTGTTTCCGACTGATCACTTATAACAGGCACTTTGTCTAGACTGTCTGTTGTTGTGGCTAAGCTGTGCTGAGCAGGACACATTGAAGGGTCTTCAGCTCTCTGTAGTTTAGATGGCTCAGGTGGTTGTGGTCGGTACTGTTCTGCCTCCAGACTGCTGTTGCTCCCAGGGAATAGAGCTTCCTGTTCCTCTACCTCCTGACCTGGGGTCACCCCTGTGGCCTCAGCCCCCCTCTGGCAGACCTCCTGGTCTAGCAGGGACTGCTGGTCTGTAAGTGGCTGGTCTTGGTCTAGGAGGGGCTGGTCTTGGTCTAGGAGGGGCTGGTCTTGGTATAGGAGGGGCTGGTCTTGGTATAGGAGGGGCTGGTCTTGGTATAGGAGGGGCTGGTCTTGGTCTCTGATGGTATGGTCCTCTTTTGCCAGTGTCTCCTGGTCTGGTAGTCTCTCCTGGTCTGGTAGTGTCTCCTGGTCTGGTAGTCTCTCCTGGTCTGCCAGTGTCTCCTGGTCTGCCAGTGTCTCCTGGTCTGGTAGTCTCTCCTGGTCTGGTAGTCTCTCCTGGTCTGGTAGTGTCTCCTGGTCTGGTAGTCTCTCCTGGTCTGCCAGTGTCTCCTGGTCTGCCAGTGTGTGGTCTCCTGGGTGTCTGAAGGCGGTGGCACTCCACTGGGGTTCAGTAGGGTGTCTGTCCTGTCTGTACCTCACACTACTGTGACCTGCTGAGTCCTTAGTGACAGGGCCTTCGCTGGGGCTCAACAGTGACTCACAGTACTGTTGAGAGGGGGGAACCTGGGAGTTGTAGGCTGGAGGCTTCCTGGCTGTAGACTCAGGGGACCTGCTGCTGGAAGGGGGGCTGATGTTCACAGTGGGACACTTGGGTCTGGTGGCAACATCTGGGCCGGGCCGGTCAGGGCTCCCCTCTCCTTGCTTCCCCACAGACCTCAGCTGGACTGAGCGCAGCACGGTGGGGGTGATGGTCATGGGAAGACTGCTGGAGGTCTCGGTTGCTGGACTGGCCTCAGCCCTGGCCGATGCTCCTGCCTTCTGCTTGCTTTGCTGCAGGAGGTAGAGCTGGTTCCTGTGGCCTGGGGGCTTGGTAGAGACTGGAGGAGGGTTGGTAGGGGTAGGGTTAGGGTTGGTAGGGTTAGGGTTGGTAGGGGTAGGGTTAGGGTTGGTAGGGGTAGGGTTGGTAGGGGTAGGGTTAGGGTTGGTAGGGGTAGGGTTGGTAGGGGTAGGGTTAGGGTTGGTAGGGGTAGGGTTGGTAGGGGTAGGGTTAGGGTTGGTAGGGTTAGGGTTGGTAGGGGTAGGGTTAGGGTTGGTAGGGTTAGGGTTGGTAGGGGTAGGGTTGGTAGGGGTAGGGTTAGGGTTGGTAGGGGTAGGGTTAGGGTTGGTAGGGTTAGGGCTGTGAAGGGCACTGAGGTCCTGGTGGCTGGGGGGGATGACTGGCAGCTCCAGATCTCTGGTGGAGGTGACGGACAGAGATGACTTCCTCTCTGGAATCTTGGGCTTCCTCTTCTGATTGGTGGGTGACAGGGGTTCGGGGAAGAAGGCTGAGGGGAAGGAGGAGGTGGGGGTTTCTGATTGGCTGGAGTAGCCACTAGATGGCGACACTAAGCCGGCGAGCCTCTCTGGAGAGGACATCTTGAAGTCACCTTCTACTGAGGGCAGGGAGGACATCTTGAAGTCTTCTACTGATGGCAGTGAGGGGGTGGTGGCTCTGGAGCCTGATTGGGAGGTCTGGGACTCTGAACTCTGAGACTTTATACATTCTATTACAGTAGTACCGGTAGCGGTGGAGGAGTTAGACAGGGAGCGGTAGGGGTCGGTGTTTGACTTCAAGTCATTCACAAGCCAGAGATCTGCATAGTCTGACTGGACAGCGCCCTCATCTTTATAGGAGCCTCTGTCAGAGGAACCAAACAGGCCGGAGCCGGGCATCTCCTCGGTGTCCTCCCTCCGCCAGGTCTCCAGGGCCTCCAGGGGGTCTTGCTCCAACCCTGACCCCCCCTCCCCTCCCAGAATAGGGTCCTCCAGATGGTTCAGAGCAGGGTCAGGGTCAGGGGGGTCAGTGCGGCCCAGGGAGCCCTCCAGGTCCAGCTGTAACCTCCTCTCTCTGGAACACCACTTTCTCTGCTGCCCACTGGGGGTCTTTGGTTCACTGTCGTCAGGAGCGTCCCCCCCCCCGTTGATCTTCCTTAGTGAGGAGCTGCGCCTGGGGGCAGAGGGCTTGGCCTTGGGTTTCCTCAACGTCAGACAGCGTCTCCCCAGAGTCATGTGCTCCTGGCCACAGTCAGAGGCAGAGTAGTTATACATGAAGCTCTTGCTCCCTTTCAGACCACAGTCAAAGTGCATGGAGGTGTAGTAACCCTCAGTGTCTATGGAGTAGTATGATACAGTGTCAGCCTTCTCAGAAGGAGGCTTGTCTGTAGTGAAGCTCTCACAGGTAGCCATGCTGGTAAAGCTTGGGCAGCCCAGACTCCCCTCCCCCTCTCTGGAGCGCTCAGGGCTGAGGTCATGGGGCCTGGGGCTGGGGTGGTCAGGGTGTGGGTAACTCCACTCCCCGTCGCTAGCCGTGCTGACCCTTGCATCATCCAGCTGCCGGTCGGTCTGGTAAGGGTCCAGGATGAGGGCGGGGTCATCTGTAGCATGGGGGGCGGTGTTCAGCGACAGCTCCGAGTCACAGTGGGAGGAGCCAGTGAGCTGGGGGGAGGTGGCTGGGGGGAGGGTCTCGGAGGTATGGGAGGGGCATGTTGAGCTGCTGCCACTCCAGTTCCCACTAGAAGACTGGTGGTCGTCTTTATGGTCCATCTGACACCCCAGAACTCCCCTGGTGGAGGTAGAGTGGAGCGGACTGGAGAAGGTGTCTGAGCTGGAGGACATCTCACAGCTCCCCATGTCAACCTTCCGGGGGAGGCGGGAGCGGCCCCTCTCCATCCAGGGGCTGCCAGGGTGCTGCTGGTACTTCAGGCTGGCCAGAGGGTGGTCCGGCTGGGCCTGGTCATCGGTACTCTCCTCCCCCTCCTCCTTCAGCTCCCCCGGCCCAGACAGGAAGTCCTCAGTCTCTGAGGGAGACAGCTCCTCCCCCTTCTCCCTGTGGTGGTGAACCTCATCCATCAGTCTCCTCCCCTCCCTTGGCTGGCTGTGTGACCGCAGGCGTACCCCCAGCGAAGAGGAGAACATGGCGTCGTTGCGCTCCGAGGGGTCTGGTAGAGAGGAGATGTTCCCGGTGGAGAGGGACAGAGGGACGGGGGCGGAGTTGACCCCCTCCTGACCCCACTGGGACTGGACCCTCCGGCGGGACGGAGCGCAGACCAGGAAGTCTTCAGTCTGGCAGCCGGAGTCCTTCTTGGTGTTCAGACGACTGCACAGGTCCTCGCTACAGAGCGCAGCGTTGCAACGGAGAACCACTGTCCGCTCCCTGGAGCTCGGAGACTCATCAGAGTCTGGAGGAGGAGAGGGACAGGGTCAGAGTTAGACACAGGAGGAGAGGGTCAGGGTCAGAGTTCGACACAGGGTCAGAGTTAGACACAGGAGGAGAGACACAGGGTCAGAGTTAGACACAGGAGGAGAGGGTCAGGGTCAGAGTTCGACACAGGGTCAGAGTTAGACACAGGAAGACAGGGTCAGAGTTAGACACAGGAGGAGAGACACAGGGTCAGAGTTAGACACAGGGGGAGAGACACAGGGTCAGAGTTAGACACAGGGGGATAGGGTTAAGGTTAGAGTTAGACACAGGGGGATAGGGTTAAGGTTAGAGTTAGACACAGGAGGAGAGGGTCAGGGTCAGAGTTAGACACAGGAGGAGAGGGTCAGGGTCAGAGTTCGACACAGGGTCAGAGTTAGACACAGGAGGAGAGGGTCAGGGTCAGAGTTCGACACAGGGTCAGAGTTAGACACAGGAGGAGAGGGTCAAGGTCAGAGTTCGACACAGGAGGAGAGACACATGGTCAGAGTTAGACACAGGAGGAGACACACAGGGTCAGAGTTAGACACAGGAAGACAGGGTCAGGGTCAGAGTTAGACACAGGAGGAGAGGGTCAGGGTCAGAGTTCGACACAGGGTCAGAGTTAGACACAGGAGGAGAGGGTCAAGGTCAGACACAGGAGGAGAGGGTCAAGATCAGAGTTCGACACAGGGTCAGAGTTAGACACAGGAGGAGAGGGTCAGGGTCAGAGTTCGACACAGGGTCAGAGTTAGACACAGGAGGAGAGGGTCAAGGTCAGAGTCAAACACATGAGGACAAGGTCAGGGTCAGAGTTAGACACAGGGGGATAGAGTTAAGGTCAGAGTAAGACACAGGAGGAGATACACAGGGTCAGAGTTAGACACAGGAGGAAACACATTGTCATTCTTAAGACAGAGATGAATCATGTTTCACTGTGCACTATTAGAAAAAATGGTTCCAAAAGGTTTTTTTGTGGAGGGATAGAGTTTTACCGACAACTGATTTCATCTTAATAACCCATTTTTGGAAGACGAGGGTTCGTTCTAAGGCAAAGGGTTCTGCCTAGAACCTTTAACATCCTCAGAACCGTTTTTGTAAGAAAGGGTTCTGATGATTATTTGTAAGAAAGGGTTCTGATGATTATTTGTAAGAAAGGGTTCTGATGATTATTTGTAAGAAAGGGTTCTGATGATTATTTGGAAGAAAGGGTTCTGATGATTATTTGGAAGAAAGGGTTCTGATGATTATTTGGAAGAAAGGGTTCTGATGATTATTTGGAAGAAAGGGTTCTGATGATTATTTGGAAGAAAGGGTTCTGATGATTATTTGGAAGAAAGGGTTCTGATGATTATTTGGAAGAAAGGGTTCTGATGATTATTTGGAAGGCATGAAGGTTCTACATAGACCCCTTCTGAATCGGAATCAGCTTTTTATTTGTATTTTTCTTTCTTTTAAATAGTGCCTGAGAATTAGTGTTTACCTCAATGTTTAAACTTTAATATCAGAAGTTTGAGTAATCTGTTTAAGTTTAAAAAGATAGGTGTGAGAATGTTTTAAACCTATATGGGAATATATGTATCTGGTATTCCCTTAACCATTTGACATATACACTACCTACATACACCACATGTCAACAGGATGTGGACACCTGCTAGTCAAACATCTCATTCCTAAATCATGGGCATTAATATGGAGTTGGTCCCCCCTTTGCTGCTATAACAGCCTCCACTCTTCTGGGAAGGCTTTCCACTAGATGTTGGAACATTGCTGTGGGGACTTGCTTCCATTCAGCCACAAGAGCATTAGTGAGGTCTGGCACTGATGTTGGGTGATTAGGCCTGGCTCGCAGTCGGCGTTCCAATTAATCTTAAAGGTGTTCGATGGGGTTGAGGTCAGGGCTCTGTGCAAGCCAGTCAAGTTCTTCCACACCGATAGACAAACCATTTCTGTATGGACCTCGCTTTGTGCACGGGGGCATGGTCATGCTGAAACAGGAATGGGCCTTACCCAAACTATTGCCACAAAGTTCGTCTAGAATGTCATTGTATGCTGTAGCGTTATGATTTCCCTTCACTAGAACTAAGAAGCCTAGCCCGAACCATGAAAAACAGCCCCAGACCATTATTCCTCCTCCACCAAACTTTTCAGTTGGCACTATGCATTCGGGCAGGTAGCGTTCTCCTGGTATCCGCCAAACCCAGATTCGTCCGTCAGACTGCCAGATACCAGCAGACGACACACAACTAATCTTCTCCTTTCCCCCTTCTGATAACCAGGTGGCGAATCGCATCTCTGGCAGACATATCAGTATGGATGACGGATCACCACCTCAAGCTGAACCTTGGCAAGACGGAGCTGCTCTTCCTCCCGGGGAAGGACTGCCTGTTCCATGATCTCACCATCACGGTTGACAACTCCGTTGTGTCCTCCTCCCAGAGTGCGAAGAGCCTTGGCGTGACCCTGGACAACACCCTGTCGTTCTCCGCTAACATCAAGGCGGTGACCCGATCCTGTAGGTTCATGCTCTACAACATTCGGAGAGTACGACCCTGCCTTACACAGGAAGTGGCACAGGTCCTAATCCAGGCACTTGTCATCTCCCGTCTGGATTACTGCAACTCGCTGTTGGCTGGGCTCCCTGCCTGTGCCATTAAACCCCAACAACTCATCCAGAATGCCGCAGCCCGTCTGGTGTTCAACCTTCCCAAGTTCTCTCACGTCACCCCGCTCCTCCGCACACTCCACTGGCTTCCAGTTGAAGCTCGCATCTGCTACAAGACCATGGTGCTTGCCTACGGAGCTGTGAGGGGAACGGCACCTCCGTACCTTCAGGCTCTGATCAGTCCCTACACCCAAACGAGGGCATTGCGTTCATTCATCTCTGGCCTGCTAGCTCCCCTACCTCTGCGGAAGCATAGTTCCCGCTCAGCCCAGTCAAAACTGTTCGCTGCTCTGGCACCCCAATGGTGGAACAAGCTCCCTCACGACGCCAGGACAGCGGAGTCACTCACCACCTTCCGGAGACATTTGAAACGCCACCTCTTTAAGGAATACCTGGGATAGGATAAAGTAATCCTTCTACCCACCCCCCCAAAAAAAACAAAAAAACATTGTAAAGTGGTTATCCCACTGGCTATAAGGTGAATGCACCAATTTGTAAGTCGTTTTGGATAAGAGCGTCTGCTAAATGACGTAAATGTAAATGTAGTGAAACGTGAATCATCACTCCAGAGAATGAGTTTCCACTGCTCCAGAGTCCAATGGCGGCAAGCTTTACACAACTCCAGCCGACGCTTGGCATTGTGCATGGTGATCTTAGGCTTGTGTGCGGCTGCTCGGCCATGGAAACCCATTTCATGAAGCTCCCGATGAACAGTTATTGTGCTGACGTTGCTTCCAGTGGCAGTTTGGAACTTGGTAGTGAGTGTTGCAACCGAGGACAGAAGATTTGTATGCGCTACGCATCCTATGACAGTACCACATTGAAAGTCACTGAGCTCTTCAGTAAGGCCATTCTACTGCCAATGTTTGTCTATGGAGATTGCATGGCTGTGTGCTCAATTTTATACACCTGTCAACAACGGCTGAAATAGTCAAATCCACTAATTTGAACGGTGTCCACATACTTTTGTATATACAGTGCATTCGGAAAGTATTCATACTGCTTCCCTTTTTCCACATTTTGTTACGTTACAGCCTTATTTAAAATGGATTACATTAAATGTTTTACTCATCAATCTACACACAATACCCCATAATGTGCAAATGTATTACAATTTTTACAAAATAAATACTATATTTACATAAGTACATAAGTATTCAGACCCTTTGCTATAAGACTCGAAATTGATCTAAGGTGCATCCTGTTTCCATTGATCATCCTTGAGATGTTTCTACAATTTGATTGGAGTCCACCTGTGGTAAATTCAATTGATTGGACATGATTTGGAAAGGCACACACCTGTCTATATAAGGTCCAATAGTTGACAGTGCATGTCAGAGCAAAAACCAAGCCATGAGGTCGAAGGAATTGTCCGTAGAGCTTCGAGACAGGATTGTGTCGAGGACAGATCTGGGGAAGGGTACCAAAACATTTCTGCAGCATTGAAGGTCCCCAAAAACACAGTGGCCTCCATTATTCTTAAATGGAAGAAGTTTGGAACCACCAAGACTCTTCCTAGAGCTGGCCGCCCGGCCAAACTAAGCAATCGGGGGAGAAGGGCCTTGGTCAGGGAGGTGACCAAGAACCCAAATGGTCACTCTGACAGAGCTCCAGAGTTCCTCTGCGGAGATGGGAGAACCTTCCAGAAGGACAACCATCACTAAAGCACTCCACCAATCAGGCCTTTACGGAAGAGTGGCCAGACAGAAGCCACTCCTCAGTAAAAGGCACATGACAGCACGCTTGGAGTTTGCCAAAAGGCACCTAAAGACTCTCAGACCATGAGAAACAAGATTTTCTGGTCTGATGAAACCAAGATTGAACTCTTTGGCCTGAATGCCAAGTGTCATATCTGGAAGAAACCTGGCACCATCCCTACGGTGAAGCATGGTGGTGGCAGCATCATGCTGTGGGGATGTTGTTCAGTGGCAGGGACTGGGAGACTAGTCAGGATCGAGGGAAAGATGAACGGAGCAAAGTACAGAGAGATACTTGATGAAAACCTGCTCCAGAGCGCTCAGGACCTCAGACTGGGGCGAAGGTTCACCTTCCAATAGGACAACGACCCTAAGCACACAGCCAAGACAACGCAGGAGTGGCTTCGGGACAAGTCTCTGAATGTCCTGGTGTTTTGTGGGTACTATTTAATGAAGCTGCCAGTTGAGGACCTGTGAGGCGTCTGTTTCTCAAACTAAACACTAATGTATTTGTCCTCTTGCTCAGTTGTGCACCGGGGCCTCCCACTCCTCTTTCTATTCTGGTTAGAGCCAGTTTGCGCTGTTCTGTGAAGGGAGTAGTACACAGCGTTGTACGAGATCTTCAGTTTCTTGGCAATTTCTTGCATGGAATAGCCTTCATTTCTCAGAACAAGAATAGACTGACGAGTTTCAGAAGAAAGTTCTTTGTTTCTGGCCATTTTGAGCCTGTAATCGAACCCACAATTGCTGATGCTCCAGATACTCAACTAGTCTCAAGAAGCCCAGTTTTATTGCTTCTTTAATCAGCACAACTGTTTTCAGCTGTGCTAACATAATTGCAAAATGGTTTTCTAATGATCAATTAGCCTTTTAAAATGATCAACTTTGATTAGCAAACACAACGTGCCATTGGAACACAGGACTGATGGTTGCTGATAATGGGCCTCTGTACGTCTATGTAGATATTCCATTAATAATCAGCCGTTTTAAGCTACAATAGCCATTTACAACATAACAATGTCTACACTGCATTTCTGATCAATTTGATGTTATTTTAATGGACAAAAAAATCGTTTTTCTTTCGAAAACAAGGACATTTCTAAGTGACCCCAAACTTTTGAACGGTAGTGTATACTGAGATCATGTGACAGATCATGTGACACTTAGATTGCACAGAGGTGGAGTTTATTTAACTAATTATGTGACTTCTGAAGGTAATTGGTTGCACCAGATCTTATTTAGGGGCTTCATAGCAAAGGGGGTGAATACATATCCTCGCCTGGTTCACCAACTACTTCTCAGATAGAGTTCAATGTGTCAAATCGGAGGGCCTGTTGTCTGGACCTCTGGCAGTCTCTATGGGGGTGCCACAGGGTTCAATTCTTGGGCCGACTCTTTTCTCTGTGTATGTAAATGATGTCGCTCTTGCTGCTGGTGACTCTCAGATCCACCTCTACGCAGACGACACCATTTTGTATACATCTGGCCCTTCATTGGACACTGTGTTAACAAACCTCCAAACGAGCTTCAATGCCATACAACACTCCTTCAGTAGCCTCCAACTGCTCTTAAACACTAGTAAAACTAAATGCATGCTCTTAAATCGAACGCTGCTTGCACCCGCCCACCCGACTAGAATCACTACTCTCGACGGGTCTGACCTAGAGTATGTGGACAACTACAAATATCTAGGTGTCTGGTTAGACTGTAAACTCTCCTTCCAGACTCACATTAAGAATCTCCAATCCAAAGTTAAATCTAGAATCGGTTTCCTATTTCGCAACAAAGCCTCCTTCACTCATGCTGCCAAACATGCCCTCGTAAAACTGACTATCCTACCGATCCTTGACTTCGGCGATGTCATTTACAAAATAGCCTCCAACACTCTACTCAGCAAATTGGATGTAGTCTATCACAGTGCCATCCGTTTTGTCTCCAAAGCCCCATATACTACCCACCACTGTGACCTGTACGCTCTTGTTGGCTGATCCTCACTACATATTCGTCGCCAAACCCACTGGCTCCAGGCCATCTATAAATCACTGCTAGGCAAATCCCCGCCTTATCTTAGCTCATTGGTCACCATAGCAACACCCACCCGTAGTATGCGCTCCAGCAGGTATATCTCACTGGTCATCCCCAAAGCCAACACCTCCTTTGGCCGCCATTCCTTCCAGTTCTCTGCTGCCAATGACTGGAAAAAATTGCAAAAATCTCTGAAGCTGGAGACACTTATCTCCCTCACTAACTTTAAGCATCAGTTGTCAGAGCACCTTACCGATCACTGCACCTGTACACAGCCCATCTGAAATTAGCCCGCCCAACTACCTCATCCCTATATTGTTATTTATTTTGCTCATTTGTACCCCAGTATCTCTATTTGCACATCATCTCTTGCACATCTATCATTCCAGTGTTAATACTAATTGTAATTATTTTGCACTATAGCCTATTTATTGCCTTACCTCTATAACTTGCTACATTTGCACACACTGTATATATATTTATTTCTGTTGCATTTTTGACTTTGTTTTGTTTTACCCCATATGTAACTCTGTGTTGTTGTTTTTATCGCACTGCTTTGCTTTATCTTGGCCAGGTCGCAGTTGTAAATGAGAACTTGTTCTCAACTGGTTTACTTGGTTAAATAAAGGTGAAAAAAATAAATAAAAAAAATACATATGCACGCACCACTTTTACGTTATGTATTATTATTATTTTTTTGAAACAAGTTTTTTTTTTTCATTTCACTTCACCAATTTCGACTATTTTGTGTATGTCCATTACATGAAATCCAAATAGAAATCCATTTAAATTACAGGTTGTAATGCAATAAAATAGGAAAAACACCAAGGGGGATGAATACTTTTGCAAGGCACTGTATTTCTGGCATTAAACATTAATTGTAATGAACTGAATGATGAGGATGAAGAAGATAGTGATTGAATTTAGAACAATAGTGTAAGAATTGATCTTCCTCTGTCCCGCGCGCACTCTGAGAAACGAAAATGTTATGTTATATTCCATTATATTCTTAAAATATAAACTACCAGTCAAAAGTTTGGACACACCTACTCATTCAAGGGTTTTTCTTTATTTTTTATAATTTTTTACGTTGTAGAATAATAGTGAAGACATCAAAACTCTGAAATAACACATATGGAATCATGTAGTAACCAAAAAAGTGTTAAACAAATCAAAACATATTTTAGATGATAGATTCTTCAAATAGCCACCCTTTGCCTTGATGACAGCTTTGCACACTCTTGGCATTCTCTCAACCAGCTTCACCTGGAATTCTTTTCCAACAGTCTTGAAGGAGTTCCCACATATGCATGGGCAAGCTCATGGGCAGCGCACAATTGGCCTAGCGTTGTCCAGGGTAGGGGAGGGAATGGCCGGCAGGGATGTAGCTCAGTTGATAGAGCATGGCGTTTGCAACGCCAGGGTTGTGGGTTCAATTCCCACAGGGGACCAGTATGAAAAAAAATATATATGTATTCACTAACTGTAAGTCGCTCTGGATAAGAGCGTCTGCTAAATGACTAAAATGTAAATGTAAAATATGCTGAGCACTTGTTGGCTGCTTTTCCTTCACTCTGCGGTCCAACTCATCCCAAACCATCTCAATTTAGTTGAGGTCGGGGGATTGTGGATTTGCCAGGTCATCTGATGCAGCACTCCATCACTCTCCTTCTTGGTCAAATAGCCCTTACACAGCTTGGAGGTGTGTTGGGTCATTGTCCTGTTGAAAAACAAATGATAGTCCCACTATCCAGATGGGATGGCATATCACTGTGGAATGCTGTGGTAGCCATGCTGGTTAAGTGTGCATTGAATTCTGAATAAATCACAGACAGTGTCACCAGAAAAGCACCCCCACACCATAACACCTCCTCCTCCATGCTTTACGGTGGGAAATACACATGCGGAGATCATCCGTTCACCCACACCGCGTCTCACAAATCACCCACACCGCGTCTCACAAAGACATGCCGGTTGGAACCAAAAATCTCCAATTTGGACTCCAGACCAAAGGACACATTTCCACCGGTCTAATGTCCATTGCTCGTGTTTCTTGGCCCAAGCAGGTCTCTTCTTCTTATTGGTATCCTTTAGCAGCGGTTTCTTTGCAGCAATTCGACCATGAAGGACTGATTCACACAGTCTCCTCTGAACAGTTGATGTTGAGATGTGTCTGTTACTTGAACTCTGTGAAGCATTTATTTGGGCTGCAATTTCTGTGGCTGGTAACTCTAATGAACTTATCCTCTGCAGCAGAGGTAACTCTGGGTCTTCCATTCCTTTGGCGGTCCTCATGAGAGCCAGTTTCATCATAGCGGTTTTTGCGACTGCACTTGAAGAAACTTTAGTTCTTGACAATTTCTGTATTGACTGACCTTCACGTCTTAAAGTAATGATGGACTGTTTATTACATTTACTTGTGGAATGTTAGCGAATAGATGACAACAATAGAGATAATAATCTGGTGGTATTGCTAGAGATTCAGACAGAGAATGGAGTGAAAGGGCCCTGTACTGTTAGTACTCAACAACGCTGTGGGCCAGGTGGAAATGGTTTAACAACGCTGTGGGCCAGGTGGAAATGGTTTAACAACGCTGTGGGCAAGGTGGATGGTTAAACGTGGCAAGGTGGAAATGGTTTAACAACGCTGTGGGCAAGGTGGAAATGGTTTAACAACGCTGTGGGCAAGGTGGAAATGGTTTAACAACGCTGTGGGCAAGGTGGAAATGGTTTAACAACGCTGTGGGCAAGGTGGAAATGGTTTAGCAACGCTGTGGGCAAGGTGGAAATGGTTTACATGCTGTGGGCCAGGTGGAAATGGTTTAACAACGCTGTGGGCAAGGTGGAAATGGTTTAACAACGCTGTGGGCCAGGTGGTAATGGTTTAACAACGCTGTGGGCCAGGTGGAAATGGTTTAACAACGCTGTGGGCAAGGTGGAAATGGTTTAGCAACGCTGTGGGCAAGGTGGAAATGGTTTAACAACGCTGTGGGCAAGGTGGAAATGGTTTAGCAGCCTTTCCAATACATTGGAATACAAAAGAAGCCATCCACCCTTGGTGGGCTATCAGCAGGACAATAGACTCTGGCTGAGTTTAGGGACTTTAATTGTACTAATGGATGTTTGCGAGGCATGTCTCTTCACCCATCTCTTTGCATAGCCCACCACATGCACTGTTTTATAACCACATCTGGATGGATCCATTATGAATTACTATGGGAATAAATATCACTGAATGACAGACACATTGGCATAAAGAAGGCTAATGCAATTGAAGGCATCAAATTGTTGCTTAATGAAACACCCAAAGTCATCAAATTGTTATACTAGGATTTGAAGCAATGTAGGTCAACTATTTCAGCACCGTTTCGTGCTGCTTTGAGACAAGCATGGGGACTGGTCAGATTTTTATTTTCACTGAATCTCTGTTTGGGTATTAGTTAGTTGGTTAGCCTACAATTAGGGTGTGGAAATATTAGGATTACTTGTTGTTCACTCAGTACTTGTAATAGTCCTAACCGCTGGGGCGGGTCATTCTTAACCACCCGCCTACATGACCTGTCTTAGTAACCAGTCCTCTCGGGAGGTTCACTTAGAACTATTAACACCTGGCGGTCACATAACCAGTCCTACTCCTGAACCGGCACTTAGTAACCTAGCCACTCCACGGTCATGAATAGTTACAACTTGTAACCAGTCGACCGTTCTTATAACCAGCCTCTCAAGTCAATTGTAACTAGTCTACTCTGAGGCCACTGTAATAGTCTTTACTCTGACGCCTTGTAACCGTTTGACTGGTTTAGTAACCAGCTATGGCACGGTCAACTGTTTAGTCCACTCTGACGGTCATTAGTAACCTAGTCCTACTCCTGGGCGTCAAATAGTTTACTAGTCCTACTCCGGGCGTACATAACTAGTCCACTCCACGCACTTAGTAACCTAGTCCTGACTCACCGACCGGTCACTTAGTAACCTAGTCCTACCCCTTTGACCGTGTCACTTTGTACCTACCCTACTCACTGTTTATAACCAGTCCATCTGGAGGTCCTTAGTAACCTGGTCCTAATCGCCACTGGTCACTTAGTAACCTATCCTACTCCTGACCGGTGTCACTTGAAACCTAGTCTACTCCTACCCGAGGTTTCAACTTAGTAACCGTAGTCCTACTCCGAACCGGTCACTTAGTAACCTATCCTGACCGGTCACTTAGTAACCTACTACTCCTGATACTTAGTCCTGTTACTCTACCGTCACTTAGTAAACCCGTATTAGTCCTAGTCTACTCTTGACCGGTCACTTAGTAACCTAGTCCTACTCCTGACCGTCACTTAGTAACCTAGTCCTACTCCTGACCGGTCACTTAGTAACCTAGTCCTACCCCCTGACTGGTCACTTAGTAACCTAGTCCTACTCCCTGACCGGTCACTTAGTAACCTAGTCCTACTCCTGACCGGTCACTTAGAAAACCTAGTCCTACTCCCGACGGTCACTTAGTAACCTAGTCCTACTCCTGACCGGTCGCTTAGTACCTAGTCCTACTCCGACGTCACTTAGTAACCTAGTCCTACTCCTGACCGGTCACTTAGTAACCTAGTCCTACTCCTGACTGGTCACTTAGTAACCTAGTCCTAACCTGACCGGTCACTTAGTAACCTAGTCCTACTCCTGACTGGTCACTTAGTAACCTAGTCCTACTCCTGACCGGTCACTTAGTAACCTAGTCCTACTCCTGACCGGTCACTTAGTAACCTAGTCCTACTCCCTGACTGTCACTTAGTAACCTAGTCCTACTCCTGACCGGTCACTTAGTAACCTAGTCCTACTCCCGACCGGTCACTTAGTACCTAGTCCTACTCCTGACCGGTCACTTAGTAACCTAGTCCTACTCCCGCCCTGGTCACTTAGTAACCTAGTCCTACTCCTGACCGGTCACTTAGTAACCTAGTCCTACTCTGACCGGTTCACTTAGTAACCTAGTCTACCCCCTGACTGTCACTTAGTAACCTAGTCCTACTCCTCCCGACGGGTCACTTAGTAACCTAGTCCTACTCCTGACCGGTCACTTAGTAACCTAGTCCTACTCCTGACCGTCACTTAGTAACGCTATCCTGACCGGTCACTTAGTAACCTAGTCCTACTCCCTACTGGTCACTTACTAACCTAGTCCTACTCCTGACCGGTCACTAGTAACCTAGTCTCTCCTGACCGGTCACTTATAACCTAGTCCTACTCTGACCGGTCACTTAGTAACCTAGTCCTACTCCTGACCGGTCACTTAGTAACCTAGTCCTACTCCGACTGTCACTTAGTAACCTAGTCCTACTCCTGACCGGTCACTTAGTAACCTAGTCCTACTCCTGACCGGTTTCACTTAGTAACCTAGTCCTACTCCTGACGGTCACTTAGTAACCTAGTCCTACCCCCTGACCGGTCACTTAGTAACCTAGTCCTACTCCCGACCGGTCACTTAGTAACCTAGTCCTACTCCCGACTGGTCACTTAGTACCTAGTCCTACTCATGACCGGTCACTTAGTAACCTAGTCCTACTCCTGACTGGTCACTTAGTAACCTAGTCCAAACCCTGTCCCTGGTCACTTAGTAACCTAGTCCTACTCCCGACTGGTCACTTAGTAACCTAGTCCTACTCCTGACCGGTCACTTAGTATACCTAGTCCTTTAACCTTCCCTTGACCGGTCACTTAGTAACCTAGTCCCTATCCCGACTGGTCCTTAGTAACCTAGTCCTACTCCGACTGGTCACTTAGTAACCTAGTCCTACTCCCGCCCGGTCACTTAGTAACCTAGTCCTACTCCTGACCGGTCACTTAGTAACCTAGTCCTACTCCTGCCCGGTCACTTAGTAACCTAGTCCTACTCCTGACCGGTCACTTAGTAAACCTAGTCCTACTCCGACCGGTTCACTTAGTAACCTAGTCCTACTCCGCCCTGTCCTTAGTAACCTAGTCCTACTCCTGACGGTCACTTAGTAACTAGTCCTACTCCTGACCGGTCACTTAGTAACCTAGCCCTACTCCCGACTGGTCACTTAGTAACCTAGTCCTACTCCTGACTGGTCACTTAGTAACCTAGTCCTACTCCCGACTGGTCACTATAACCTAGTCCTACTCCTGACCGTCACTTAGTAACCTAGTCCTCCTACTCCTGACTCCTTCGACGGTCACTTAGTAACCTAGTCCTACTCCTGACCGGTCACTTAGTAACCTAGTCCTACCCCTGACCGGTCACTTAGTAACCTAGTCCTACTCCCGACTGGTCACTTAGTACCTAGTCCTACTCCTGACCGGTCACTTAGTAACCTAGTCCTACTCCTAAACCGTGTCACTTAGTAACCTAGTCCTACTCCTGACCGGTCACTTAGTAACCTAGTCCTACTCCTGACCGTCACTTAGTAACCTAGTCCTACTCCCGACCGGTCACTTAGTAACCTAGTCCTACTCCCGACTGGTCACTTAGTAACCTAGTCCTACTCATGACCAGTCACTTAGTAACCTAGTCCTACTCCTGACTGGTCACTTAGTAACCTAGTCCTACTCCTGACTGGTCACTTAGTAACCTAGTCCTACTCCCGACTGGTCACTTAGTAACCTAGTCCTACTCCTGACCGGTCACTTAGTAACCTAGTCCTACTCCTGACCGGTCACTTAGTAACCTAGTCCTACTCCTGACCGGTCACTTAGTAACCTAGTCCTACTCCCGACTGGTCACTTAGTAACCTAGTCCTACTCCCGACTGGTCACTTAGTAACCTAGTCCTACTCCCGACTGGTCACTTAGTAACCTAGTCCTACTCCTGACCGGTCACTTAGTAACCTAGTCCTACTCCTGACCGGTCACTTAGTAACCTAGTCCTACTCCTGACCGGTCACTTAGTAAACTAGTCCTACTCCCGACCGGTCACTTAGTAACCTAGTCCTACTCCCGACTGGTCACTTAGTAACCTAGTCCTACTCCTGACTGGTCACTTAGTAACCTAGTCCTACTCCTGACCGGTCACTTAGTAACCTAGTCCTACTCCCGACTGGTCACTTAGTAACCTAGTCCTACTCCCGACTGGTCACTTAGTAACCTAGTCCTACTCCCGACTGGTCACTTAGTAACCTAGTCCTACTCCTGACCGGTCACTTAGTAACCTAGTCCTACTCCTGACCGGTGTCACTTAGTAACCTAGTCCTACTCCTGACCGGTGTCACTTAGTAACCTAGTCCTACTCCTGACCGGTCACTTAGTAACCTACTCCTGACCGGTCACTTAGTAACCTAGTCCTACTCCTGACCGGTCACTTAGTAACCTAGTCCTACTCCCGACTGGTCACTTAGTAACCTAGTCCTACTCCCGACTGGTCACTTAGTAACCTAGTCCTACTCCTGACCGGTCACTTAGTAACCTAGTCCTACTCCTGACCGGTCACTTAGTAACCTAGTCCTACTCCCGACTGGTCACTTAGTAACCTAGTCCTACTCCCGACTGGTCACTTAGTAACCTAGTCCTACTCCTGACCGGTCACTTAGTAACCTAGTCCTACTCCTGACTGGTCACTTAGTAACCTAGTCCTACTCCTGACCAGTCACTTAGTAACCTAGTCCTACTCCTGACCGGTCACTTAGTAACCTAGTCCTACTCCTGACCGGTGTCACTTAGTAACCTAGTCCTACTCCTGACCGGTGTCACTTAGTAACCTAGTCCTACTCCTGACCGGTCACTTAGTAACCTAGTCCTACTCCTGACCGGTGTCACTTAGTAACCTAGTCCTACTCCTGACCGGTCACTTAGTAACCTAGTCCTACTCCTGACCGGTCACTTAGTAACCTAGTCCTACTCCTGACCGGTCACTTAGTAACCTAGTCCTACTCCCGACCGGTCACTTAGTAACCTAGTCCTACTCCCGACTGGTCACTTAGTAACCTAGTCCTACTCCTGACCGGTCACTTAGTAACCTAGTCCAACTCCTGACCGGTCACTTAGTAACCTAGTCCTACTCCTGACCGGTCACTTAGTAACCTAGTCCTACTCCTGACCGGTCACTTAGTAACCTAGTCCTACTCCCGACTGGTCACTTAGTAACCTAGTCCTACTCCCGACTGGTCACTTAGTAACCTAGTCCTACTCCTGACCGGTCACTTAGTAACCTAGTCCTACTCCTGACCGGTCACTTAGTAACCTAGTCCTACTCCTGACCGGTCACTTAGTAACCTAGTCCTGACCGGTCACTTAGTAACCTAGTCCTACTCCTGACCGGTCACTTAGTAACCTAGTCCTGACCGGTCACTTAGTAACCTAGTCCTACTCCTGACCGGTCACTTAGTAACCTAGTCCTGACCGGTCACTTAGTAACCTAGTCCTACTCCTGACCGGTCACTTAGTAACCTAGTCCTGACCGGTCACTTAGTAACCTAGTCCTACTCCCGACCGGTCACTTAGTAACCTAGTCCTGACCGGTCACTTAGTAACCTAGTCCTACTCCTGACCGGTCACTTAGTAACCTAGTCCTACTCCCGACCGGTCACTTAGTAACCTAGTCCTACTCCCGACTGGTCACTTAGTAACCTAGTCCTACTCCTGACCGGTCACTTAGTAACCTAGTCCTACTCCTGACCGGTCACTTAGTAACCTAGTCCTACTCCTGACCGGTCACTTAGTAACCTAGTCCTACTCCCGACCGGTCACTTAGTAACCTAGTCCTACTCCTGACCGGTCACTTAGTAACCTAGTCCTACTCCTGACTGGTCACTTAGTAACCTAGTCCTACTCCCGACTGGTCACTTAGTAACCTAGTCCTACTCCCGACTGGTCACTTAGTAACCTAGTCCTACTCCTGACCAGTCACTTAGTAACCTAGTCCTACTCCTGACCAGTCACTTAGTAACCTAGTCCTACTCCTGACTGGTCACTTAGTAACCTAGTCCTACTCCCGACTGGTCACTTAGTAACCTAGTCCTACTCCTGACCGGTCACTTAGTAACCTAGTTCTACTCCTGACCAGTCACTTAGTAACCTAGTCCTACTCCTGACTGGTCACTTAGTAACCTAGTCCTACTCCTGACTGGTCACTTAGTAACCTAGTCCTACTCCTGACCAGTCACTTAGTAACCTAGTCCTACTCCTGACCGGTCACTTAGTAACCTAGTCCTACTCCTGACTGGTCACTTAGTAACCTAGTCCTACTCCTGACCGGTCACTTAGTAACCTAGTCCTACTCCTGACCGGTCACTTAGTAACCTAGTCCTACTCCTGACCGGTGTCACTTAGTAACCTAGTCCTACTCCCGACCGGTCACTTAGTAACCTAGTCCTACTCCTGACTGGTCACTTAGTAACCTACTCCTGACCGGTCACTTAGTAACCTACTCCTACTCCTGACCGGTCACTTAGTAACCTAGTCCTACTCCTGACCGGTCACTTAGTAACCTAGTCCTACTCCCGACTGGTCACTTAGTAACCTAGTCCTACTCCCGACTGGTCACTTAGTAACCTAGTCCTACTCCTGACCGGTCACTTAGTAACCTAGTCCTACTCCTGACCGGTCACTTATTAACCTAGTCCTACTCCTGACCGGTCACTTAGTAACCTAGTCCTGACCGGTCACTTAGTAACCTAGTCCTACTCCTGACCGGTCACTTAGTAACCTAGTCCTGACCGGTCACTTAGTAACCTAGTCCTACTCCTGACCGGTCACTTAGTAACCTAGTCCTACTCCTGACCGGTCACTTAGTAACCTAGTCCTACTCCTGACCGGTCACTTAGTAACCTAGTCCTACTCCTGACTGGTCACTTAGTAACCTAGTCCTACTCCTGACCAGTCACTTAGTAACCTAGTCCTACTCCTGACCGGTCACTTAGTAACCTAGTCCTACTCCTGACCGGTGTCACCTAGTAACCTAGTCCTACTCCCGACCGGTCACTTAGTAACCTAGTCATACTCCTGACTGGTCACTTAGTAACCTAGTCCTGACCGGTCACTTAGTAACCTAGTCCTACTCCTGACCGGTCACTTAGTAACCTAGTCCTACTCCTGACCGGTCACTTAGTAACCTAGTCCTGACTGGTCACTTAGTAACCTAGTCCTACTCCTGACCGGTCACTTAGTAACCTAGTCCTACTCCCGACCGGTCACTTAGTAACCTAGTCCTACTCCTGACCGGTCACTTAGTAACCTAGTCCTACTCCCGACCGGTCACTTAGTAACCTAGTCCTACTCCTGACCGGTCACTTAGTAACCTAGTCCTACTCCTGACCGGTGTCACTTAGTAACCTAGTCCTACTCCTGACCGGTCACTTAGTAACCTAGTCCTACTCCTGACCGGTGTCACTTAGTAACCTAGTCCTACTCCTGACCGGTGTCACTTAGTAACCTAGTCCTGACCGGTCACTTAGTAACCTAGTCCTACTCCTGACCGGTCACTTAGTAACCTAGTCCTACTCCTGACCGAGTCACTTAGTAACCTAGTCCCTACTCCTGACCGGTCACTTAGTAACCTAGTCCTACTCCTGACCGGTCACTTAGTAACCTAGTCCTACTCCTGACCGGTGTCACTTAGTAACCTAGTCCTACTCCTGACCGGTCACTTAGTAACCTACTCCTGACCGGTCACTTAGTAACCTAGTCCTACTCCTGACCGGTCACTTAGTAACCTAGTCCTACTCCCGACTGGTCACTTAGTAACCTAGTCCTACTCCCGACCGGTCACTTAGTAACCTAGTCCTACTCCTGACCGGTCACTTAGTAACCTAGTCCTACTCCCGACCGGTCACTTAGTAACCTAGTCCTACTCCTGACCGGTTCACTTAGTAACCTAGTCCTACTCCTGACCGGTGTCATTAGTAACCTAGTCCTACTCCTGACCGTCACTTAGTAACCTAGTCCTACTCCTGACCGGTGTCACTTAGTAACCTAGTCCTACTCCTGACCGGTGTCACTTAGTAACCTAGTCCTGACCGGTCACTTAGTAACCTAGTCCTACTCCTGACCGGTCACTTAGTAACCTAGTCCTACTCCTGACCGGTCACTTAGTAACCTAGTCCTACTCCTGACCGGTCACTTAGTAACCTAGTCCTACTCCTGACCGGTCACTTAGTAACCTAGTCCTACTCCTGACCGGTGTCACTTAGTAACCTAGTCCTACTCCTGACCGGTCACTTAGTAACCTACTCCTGACCGGTCACTTAGTAACCTAGTCCTACTCCTGACCGGTCACTTAGTAACCTAGTCCTACTCCCGACTGGTCACTTAGTAACCTAGTCCTACTCCTGACCGGTCACTTAGTAACCTAGTCCTACTCCTGACCGGTCACTTAGTAACCTAGTCCTACTCCTGACCGGTCACTTAGTAACCTAGTCCTGACCGGTCACTTAGTAACCTAGTCCTACTCCTGACCGGTCACTTAGTAACCTAGTCCTGACCGGTCACTTAGTAACCTAGTCCTACTCCTGACCGGTCACTTAGTAACCTAGTGCTACTCCTGACCGGTCACTTAGTAACCTAGTCCTACTCCCGACTGGTCACTTAGTAACCTAGTCCTACTCCCGACTGGTCACTTAGTAACCTAGTCCTACTCCTGACCGGTCACTTAGTAACCTAGTCCTGACCGGTCACTTAGTAACCTAGTCCTACTCCTGACCGGTCACTTAGTAACCTAGTCCTACTCCCGACTGGTCACTTAGTAACCTAGTCCTACTCCTGACCGGTCACTTAGTAACCTAGTCCTGACCAGTCACTTAGTAACCTAGTCCTACTCCTGACCGGTCACTTAGTAACCTAGTCCTACTCCCGACTGGTCACTTAGTAACCTAGTCCTACTTCCGACTGGTCACTTAGTAACCTAGTCCTACTCCTGACCGGTCACTTAGTAACCTAGTCCTACTCCTGACCGGTCACTTAGTAACCTAGTCCTACTTCCGACTGGTCACTTAGTAACCTAGTCCTACTCCTGACCGGTCACTTAGTAACCTAGTCCTACTCCTGACCGGTCACTTAGTAACCTAGTCCTACTCCCGACTGGTCACTTAGTAAACTAGTCCTACTCCTGACCGGTCACTTAGTAACCTAGTCCTACTCCTGACCGGTCACTTAGTAACCTAGTCCTACTCCAGACCGGTCACTTAGTAACCTAGTCCTACTCCTGACCGGTCACTTAGTAACCTAGTCCTACTCCCGACTGGTCACTTAGTAACCTAGTCCTACTCCTGACTGGTCACTTAGTAACCTAGTCCTGACCGGTCACTTAGTAACCTAGTCCTACTCCCGACTGGTCACTTAGTAACCTAGTCCTACTCCTGACTGGTCACTTAGTAACCTAGTCCTGACCGGTCACTTAGTAACCTAGTCCTACTCCTGACCGGTCACTTAGTAACCTAGTCCTACTCCTGACCGGTCACTTAGTAACCTAGTCCTACTCCCGACTGGTCACTTAGTAACCTAGTCCTACTCCTGACCGGTCACTTAGTAACCTAGTCCTACTCCCGACTGGTCACTTAGTAACCTAGTCCTACTCCTGACCGGTCACTTAGTAACCTAGTCCTACTCCTGACCGGTCACTTAGTAACCTAGTCCTACTCCTGACTGGTCACTTAGTAACCTAGTCCTACTCCCGACTGGTCACTTAGTAACCTAGTCCTACTCCTGACTGGTCACTTAGTAACCTAGTCCTACTCCCGACTGGTCACTTAGTAACCTAGTCCTACTCCTGACCAGTCACTTAGTAACCTAGTCCTACTCCCGACCGGTCACTTAGTAACCTAGTCCTACTCCTGACCGGTCACTTAGTAACCTAGTCCTACTCCTGACCGGTCACTTAGTAACCTAGTCCTACTCCTGACTGGTCACTTAGTAACCTAGTCCTACTCCTGACCAGTCACTTAGTAACCTAGTCCTACTCCTGACCGGTCACTTAGTAACCTAGTCCTACTCCCGACTGGTCACTTAGTAACCTAGTCCTACTCCTGACCGGTCACTTAGTAACCTAGTCCTACTCCTGACCGGTCACTTAGTAACCTAGTCCTACTCCTGACCGGTCACTTAGTAACCTAGTCCTACTCCCGACTGGTCACTTAGTAACCTAGTCCTACTCCCGACTGGTCACTTAGTAACCTAGTCCTACTCCCGACTGGTCACTTAGTAACCTAGTCCTACTCCTGACCGGTCACTTAGTAACCTAGTCCTACTCCTGACCGGTCACTTAGTAACCTAGTCCTACTCCCGACTGGTCACTTAGTAACCTAGTCCTACTCCCGACCGGTCACTTAGTAACCTAGTCCTACTCCTGACCGGTCACTTAGTAACCTAGTCCTACTCCTGACCGGTCACTTAGTAACCTAGTCCTACTCCTGACCGGTCACTTAGTAACCTAGTCCTACTCCTGACCGGTCACTTAGTAACCTAGTCCTACTCCCGACCGGTCACTTAGTAACCTAGTCCTACTCCTGACCGGTCACTTAGTAACCTAGTCCTACTCCTGACCGGTCACTTAGTAACCTAGTCCTACTCCTGACCGGTCACTTAGTAACCTAGTCCTACTCCTGACTGGTCACTTAGTAACCTAGTCCTACTCCAGACCGGTCACTTAGTAACCTAGTCCTACTCCTGACCGGTCACTTAGTAACCTAGTCCTACTCCTGACCGGTCACTTAGTAACCTAGTCCTACTCCCGACTGGTCACTTAGTAACCTAGTCCTACTCCTGACTGGTCACTTAGTAACCTAGTCCTACTCCTGACTGGTCACTTAGTAACCTAGTCCTACTCCAGACCGGTCACTTAGTAACCTAGTCCTACTCCCAACCGGTCACTTAGTAACCTAGTCCTACTCCCGACCGGTCACTTAGTAACCTAGTCCTACTCCCGACCGGTTACTTAGTAACCTAGTCCTACTCCTGACCGGTCACTTAGTAACCTAGTCCTACTCCTGACCTGACCGGTCACTTAGTAACCTAGTCCTACTCCTGACCGGTCACTTAGTAACCTAGTCCTACTCCTGACCGGTCACTTAGTAACCTAGTCCTGACCGGTCACTTAGTAACCTAGTCCTACTCCTGACCGGTCACTTAGTAACCTAGTCCTGACCAGTCACTTAGTAACCTAGTCCTACTCCTGACCGGTCACTTAGTAACCTAGTCCTACTCCTGACCGGTCACTTAGTAACCTAGTCCTACTCCTGACTGGTCACTTAGTAACCTAGTCCTACTCCTGACCAGTCACTTAGTAACCTAGTCCTACTCCTGACCGGTCACTTAGTAACCTAGTCCTACTCCCGACTGGTCACTTAGTAACCTAGTCCTACTCCTGACCAGTTACTTAGTAACCTAGTCCTACTCCTGAATGGTCACTTAGTAACCTAGTCCTACTCCTGGCCGGTCACTTAGTAACCTAGTCCTACTCCTGACCGGTCACTTAGTAACCTAGTCCTACTCCTGACCGGTCACTTAGTAACCTAGTCCTACTCCCGACTGGTCACTTAGTAACCTAGTCCTACTCCTGACTGGTCACTTAGTAACCTAGTCCTACTCCTGACCGGTCACTTAGTAACCTAGTCCTGACCGGTCACTTAGTAACCTAGTCCTACTCCCGACCGGTCACTTAGTAACCTAGTCCTACTCCCGACCGGTCACTTAGTAACCTAGTCCTACTCCCGACTGGTCACTTAGTAACCTAGTCCTACTCCTGACCAGTCACTTAGTAACCTAGTCCTACTCCCGACTGGTCACTTAGTAACCTAGTCCTAGTCCTGACCGGCACTTAGTAACCTAGTCCTACTCCTGACCGGTCACTTAGTAACCTAGTCCTACTCCTGACCAGTCACTTAGTAACCTAGTCCTACTCCTGACCAGTCACTTAGTAACCTAGTCCTACTCCTGACCAGTCACTTAGTAACCTAGTCCTACTCCCGACTGGTCACTTAGTAACCTAGTCCTACTCCTGACCAGTCACTTAGTAACCTAGTCCTACTCCTGACCGGTCACTTAGTAACCTAGTCCTACTCCTGACCAGTCACTTAGTAACCTAGTCCTACTCCCGACCGGTCACTTAGTAACCTAGTCCTACTCCTGACCAGTCACTTAGTAACCTAGTCCTACTCCCGACTGGTCACTTAGTAACCTAGTCCTACTCCTGACTGGTCACTTAGTAACCTAGTCCTACTCCTGACCGGTCACTTAGTAACCTAGTCCTACTCCTGACCGGTCACTTAGTAACCTAGTCCTACTCCTGACCAGTCACTTAGTAACCTAGTCCTACTCCCGACTGGTCACTTAGTAACCTAGTCCTACTCCTGACTGGTCACTTAGTAACCTAGTCCTACTCCTGACTGGTCACTTAGTAACCTAGTCCTACTCCTGACCGGTCACTTAGTAACCTAGTCCTACTCCCGACTGGTCACTTAGTAACCTAGTCCTACTCCTGACTGGTCACTTAGTAACCTAGTCCTACTCCTGACTGGTCACTTAGTAACCTAGTCCTACTCCTGACCGGTCACTTAGTAACCTAGTCCTACTCCTGACTGGTCACTTAGTAACCTAGTCCTACTTCCGACTGGTCACTTAGTAACCTAGTCCTACTCCTGACTGGTCACTTAGTAACCTAGTCCTACTCCTGACCGGTCACTTAGTAACCTAGTCCTACTCCCGACTGGTCACTTAGTAACCTAGTCCTACTCCTGACCAGTCACTTAGTAACCTAGTCCTACTCCTGACTGGTCACTTAGTAACCTAGTCCTACTCCTGACCGGTCACTTAGTAACCTAGTCCTACTCCTGACCGGTCACTTAGTAACCTAGTCCTACTCCTGACCGGTCACTTAGTAACCTAGTCCTACTCCCGACTGGTCACTTAGTAACCTAGTCCTACTCCTGACCGGTCACTTAGTAACCTAGTCCTACTCCTGACCGGTCACTTAGTAACCTAGTCCTACTCCCGACCGGTCACTTAGTAACCTAGTCCTACTCCTGACCGGTCACTTAGTAACCTAGTCCTACTCCCGACTGGTCACGTTGTACAGCGCCATATGTTCCTAACGGAAACCCTGAGGCCTACATGGGCTACTGTAAAATACATTTTCGTTTGTCTTGGAATAGAAACCCCATAATTTTAATCTATTTAATCAAGCTAAACTTCTAACAGTATAAACAGCACATCAAATACTATAATAATTTACAAACAAATTATAATCAATCCCATATAGTCTGTTCTAACAAAAAAGGTTTTAAAGTCTCTAGTACAGCCAATATTACAAACAGTCAAATGCATTTGTGAATTCAATCGCTTTAGCTGATATGTTGCGGTTTATTCATTGTTTAAAATACTTGGTCTTTTACCAAATAGGGCTATCTTCTGTATACTCCCCCTACCTTGTCACAACACAACTGATTGGCTCAAACACATTCCACAAATTAACTTTTAAGAAGGCACACCTGTTAATTGAAATGCATTCCAGGTGACTACCTCATGAAGCTGGTTGAGAGAATGCCAAGGGTGTGCAAAGCTGTCATCAAGGCAAAGGGTGGATATTTGAAGAATCTCAAATATAAAATATATTTTGATTTGATAAACACTTTTTTGGTTACTACATGATTCCATATGTGTTATGTCATAGTTTTGAAGTCTTCACTATTATTCTACAATGTAGAAAATAGTAAAAATTAAGAAAAACCCTTGAATGAGTAGGTGTTCTAAAACGTTTGACCGGTAGTGTACCTAGGTCTATAAACAGGGTTAGGGTTAAACATACTGCACCTAGGTCTATAACCAGGGTTAGGGTTAAACATACTGCACCTAGGTCTATAAACAGGGTTAGGGTTAAACATACTGCACCTAGGTCTATAAACAGGGTTAGGGTTAAACATACTGCACCTAGGTCTATAAACAGGGTTAGGGTTAAACATACTGCACCTAGGTCTATAAACAGAAGAGGTGTTATTTTCTTTCCAAATCACTTGAGTGTGCTGTCTCTGATCAACTTTCTTGTTATTCCTCTTAGAATGATCTTCTTGACCCTAACCAGTCAGGGTTCAAGACGAGTCACTCAACCGAGACTGCTCTTCTCTGTGTCACGGAGGTTCTCCGCACTGCCAAAGCTGACTCTCTCTCCTCTGTTCTCATCCTCCTACATCTATCCGCTGCCTTCTACACCCTGAACCATCAGATCCTCCTCTCCACCCTCTCAGGGCTGATCCTCCTCTCCACCCTCTCAGGGCTGATCCTCCTCTCCATCCTCTCATGGCTGATCCTCCTCTCCACCCTCTCAGGGCTGATCCTCCTCTCCACCCTCTCAGGGCTGATCCTCCTCTCCACCCTCTCAGGGCTGATCCTCCTCTCCACCCTCTCAGGGCTGATCCTCCTCTCCACCCTCTCAGGGCTGATCCTCCTCTCCACCCTCTCAGGGCTGATCCTCCTCTCCACCCTCTCAGGGCTGATCCTCCTCTCCACCCTCTCAGGGCTGATCCTCCTCTCCATCCTCTCATGGCTGATCCTCCTCTCCACCCTCTCAGGGCTGATCCTCCTCTCCATCCTCTCATGGCTGATCCTCCTCTCCACCCTCTCAGGGCTGATCCTCCTCTCCACCCTCTCAGGGCTGATCCTCCTCTCCACCCTCTCATGGCTGATCCTCCTCTCCACCCTCTCAGGGCTGGGTGTCTCAGGCTCTGCACACTCTTGGATTGCATCCTATCCTGGCAGGCCGCTCCTACCAGGTGACGTGGAGAGGATCTGTGTCTGCACCACGTACTCTCACTACTGGTGTCCCCCAGGGCTCGGTTCTAGGCCCTCTCCTCTTCTCTCTATACACCAAGTCACTCGGCTCTGTCATATCCTCACCTGGTCTCTCCTATCATCGCTATGCGGATGACACTCAACTACTTTTCTCCTTCCCCCCTTCTGACACCCAGGTGGCGACACGCATCTCTGCGTGCCTGGTAGATATCTCAACTTGGATGTCGGCCCACCACCTCAACCTCATCAAGACGGAACTGCTCTTCCTCCCCGGGAAGGCCTGCCCACTTAAAGACCTCTTCATCACGGTTGACAACTCCACAGTGTCGCCCTCCCAGGGTTCAAAGAACCTTGGCGTGACCCTGGACAACACCCTGTCGATCTCTGCAAACATCAAAGCAGTGACTCTCTCCTGCAGGTTCATGATCTACAACATCTGTAGAGTACGACCCTACCTCACACAGGATGCGGCACAGGTCCTAATCCAAGCACTTGTCCTCTCCCATCTTGACTGCTGCAACTCTCTGTTGGCTGGGCTCCCCGCTTGTGCCATCAAACCCCTGTAACTTATCCAGAACGCTGCAGCCTGCCTGGTGTTCAACCTTCCCAAGTTCTCTCATGTCACCCCGCTCCTCCGCCCACTCCACTGGCTTCCAGTTGAAGCTCTCATCCACTATTAGACCATGGTGCTTACCTATGGAGCAGCAAGAGGAACTGCCCCTCCCTACCTTCAGGCTATGCTCCAACCCTACACCCCAACCAGAGCCCCTATCTTCAGGCTATGCTCAAACCCTACACCCCAACCAGAGCCCCTATCTTCAGGCTATGCTCAAACCCTACACCCCAACCAGAGCCCCTATCTTCAGGCTATGCTCAAACCCTACACTCCAACCAGAGCCCCTATCTTCAGGCTATGCTCAAACCCTACACCCCAACCAGAGCCCCTATCTTCAGGCTATGCTCAAACCCTACACCCCAACCAGAGCCCCTATCTTCAGGCTATGCTCAAACCCTACACTCCAACCAGAGCACTCCGTTCTGCCACCTCTGGTCTCTCAGCCCTCCAACCCTCCACCCCAACCCGAGCCCCTATCTCCAGGCTATGCTCCAACCCTACACCCCAACCTGAGCACTCCGTTCTGCCACCTCTGGTCTTTCGGCCCTCCCACCCCTATGAGAGGGCAGCTCCCACTCAGCCCAGTCCAAGCTCTTCTCTGTCCTGGCACCCCAATGGTGGAACCAGCTTCCCCCTGACGCTAGGACAGCAGAGTCCCTGGCCATCTTCATAAAGCACCTGAAACCCCGCCTCTTCAAATAGTATCTCAAATAATTCCCCTCCTCACCCGAAAATAAATAAATAATTATAATGATCCTGAACCAACACTTGTACTTGACACAGCAGCCCCTCCCTCCCCACCCCCGACTTTGCTGATAACTATTTAGAGGAAACATGTACTTACTATCTGACTGTGATATGTGGTTGATATGTGGTTGATATGTGGTTGATATGTGGTTGATATGTGGTTGATATGTAGCTATTTTAAGACGAATGCACTAACTGTAAGTCGCTCTGGAAAACAGCATCTGCTAATGACTGAAATGTAAATGTAAAATGTTAGGGTTCAAGGTTAGGGCTGAAATGAGTCATACCTAGGTCTATAAACAGGAGAGGTGGTAGGGTTCAAGGTAAGGGCTGAAATTAGTCATACCTAGGTCTATAAACAGGAGAGGTGGTAGGGTTCAAGGTTAGGGCTGAAATTAGTCATACCTAGGTCTATAAACAGGAGAGGTGGTAGGGTTCAAGGTTGGGGCTGAAATTAGTCATACCTAGGTCTATAAACAGGAGAGGTGGTAGGGTTCAAGGTTAGGGCTGAAATGAGTCATACCTAGGTCCTGCTGAACTCTTCTAGGAATCCCGATGACAGTCTTCCGTCTCCTCAGCTTCCTCCTCCTCTGAAGTACGGACTGAGAGTGGACTGGCGAGCAGCGCACACTAGCGTCTCTGTGGAACTGAACCCCTGCAGAAAAGAGCAGAGACACAAGACGTGAGAAACCTTTATATATTAGTGACGGCAGCAAAGCAGCAAAGCCCTCTCCTCTTTTTCTCACACTGAAGCAAGCAGAGATGTATCGATTTATCTATCAACAGGAAAATATAGATTCATGTTACTGCAATCTATCTATCAACAGGAAAATATAGATTCATGTTACTGCAATCTATAGATTCATGTTACTGCAATCTATATATTCATGTTACTGTCTTCTATAGATTCATGTTACTGTCATCTATATATTCATGTTACTGTCATCTATATATTCATGTTACTGTCATCTATAGATTCATGTTACTGTCATCTATAGATTCATGTTACTGTCATCTATAGATTCATGTTACTGTCATCTATAGATTCATGTTACTGTCATCTATATATTCATGTTACTGTCATCTATATATTCATGTTACTGTCATCTATAGATTAATGTTACTGTCATCTATATATTCATGTTACTGTCATCTATAGATTAATGTTACTGTCATCTATAGATTCATGTTACTGTCATCTATAGATTAACGTTACTGTCATCTATAGATTAATGTTACTGTCATCTATATATTAATGTTACTGTCATCCATAGATTAACATTACTGTCATCTATAGATTAATGTTACTGTCATCTATAGATTAATGTTACTGTCATCCATAGATTCATGTTACTGTCATCTATAGATTAACGTTACTGTCATCTATAGATTAATGTTACTGTCATCTATAGATTAATGTTACTGTCATCTATAGATTCATGTTACTGTCATCCATAGATTCACGTTACTGTCATCTATAGATTAATGTTACTGTCATCTATAGATTAATGTTACTGTCATCTATAGATTCATGTTACTGTCATCCATAGATTCACGTTACTGTCATCTATAGATTCACGTTACTGTCATCTATATATTAATGTTACTGTCATCTATATATTCATGTTACTGTCATCTATATATTCATGTTACTGTCATCTATAGATTCATGTTACTGTCATCTATAGATTCATGTTACTGTCATCTATAGAATATAATTATGTTTCTGCCACCAATAGATTAACACTACTGTCATCCATAGATTAATGCAACTGTCATCTATAGATTCATGTTACTGTCATCTATAGATTCATGTTACTGTCATCTATAGATTAATGTTACTGTCATCTATAGAATATAATTATGTTACTGCCACCAATAGATTAACACTACTGTCATCCATAGATTAATGCAACTGTCATCTATAGATTCATGTTACTGTCATCTATAGATTCATGTTACTGTCATCTATAGATTAATGTTACTGTCATCTATAGAATATAATTATGTTACTGCCACCAATAGATTAACACTACTGTCATCCATAGATTAATGCAACTGTCATCTATAGATTCATGTTACTGTCATCTATAGATTAACGTTACTGTCATCTATAGATTCATGTTACTGTCATCTATAGATTAATGTTACTGTCATCTATAGATTAATGTTACTGTCATCTATAGATTCATGTTACTGTCATCCATAGATTCACGTTACTGTCATCTATAGATTCACGTTACTGTCATCTATATATTAATGTTACTGTCATCTATATATTCATGTTACTGTCATCTATATATTCATGTTACTGTCATCTATAGATTCATGTTACTGTCATCTATAGATTCATGTTACTGTCATCTATAGATTAACGTTACTGTCATCTATAGATTAATGTTACTGTCATCTATAGATTAATGTTACTGTCATCTATAGATTCATGTTACTGCCATCTATAGATTCATGTTACTGCAATCTATAGAATATAATTGTTACTGCCATTTATAGATGAATGTTACTGCAATCTCAAATCAAATCAAATCAAATGTTAATTGTCAAATACACGTGTTTAGCAGATGTTATTGCAGGTGTAGTGAAATGCTTGTGCTTCTAGCTCCGACAGTGCAGTAATATCTAACAATTTCACAACACATACCCAATACACACAAAAAAGTAAGGAATGGGATTTAAGAATATATACATATATGGACGAGCGATGTCAGAGCGGTATGGACTAAGATACAGTAGAATATTATAAAATAGAATGCAGTATATACATATGAGATGAGTAGTCCAAGATATGGAAACATTATTAAAGTGACTAGTGTTCCATTTCTTAAAGTGGCCAGTGAGTTCAATAGGCAGCAGCAGCCTCTAATGTGCTAGTGATGGCTATTTAACAGTCTGATGGCCTTGAGATAGAAGCTGTTTTTCAGTCTCTCGGTCCCAGCTTTGATGCACCTGTACTGACCTCGCCTTCTGGACGATAGCGGGGTGAACAGGCAGTGGCTCGGGTGGTTGATGTCCTTGATGATCTTTTTGGCCTTCCTGTGACATCGGGTGCTGTATGTGTCTTGGAGGGCGGGTAGTTTGCCCCCGGTGATGCGTTCGGCAGACCGCACCACCCTCTGGTGAGCCCTGCGGTTGCAGGCGGTGCAGTTGCCGTACCAGGCGGTGATACAGCCCGACAGGATGCTCTCAATTGTGCATCTGTAAAAGTTTGTGAGGGTTTTAGGTGATAAGCCACATTTCTTCAGCCTCCTGAGGTTGAAGAAGCTCAGTTGCGCCTTCTTCACCACACTGTCTGCGTGGCTGAACCATTTCAGTTTGTCGGTGATGTGTACGCCAAGGAACTTCAAGCTTTCCACCTTCTCCACTGCGGTCCCGTCGATGTGGATAGGGGGCTGCACCCTCTGCTGTTTCCTGAAGTCCACGATCATCTCCTTTGTTTTGTTGACGTTGAGTGAGAGGTTATTTTCCTGGCACCACACTCCCAGAGCCCTCACCTCCTCCCTGTAGGCGGTCTCGTCATTGTTGGTAATCAAGCCTACTACTGTTGTGTCGTCTGCAAACTTGATAATTGAGTTGGAGGCGTGCTTGGCCACGCAGTCATGGGTGAACAGGGAGTACAGGAGGGGGCTGAGCACACACCCTTGTGGGGCCCCAGTGTTGAGGATCAGCGAAGTGGAGATGTTGTTTCCTACATTCACCACCTGGGGGGCGGGGTTCAGACCCAGGGCCTCGAGCTTAATGATGAGCTTGGAGGTTACCATGGTGTTGAATGCTGAGCTGTAGTCAATGAATAGCATTCTCACGTAGGTGTACCTCTTGTCCAGGTGGGAAAGGGCAGTGTGGAGTGCAATAGAGATTGCATCATCTGTGGATCTGTTGGGGCGGTATTGTGAATGTTGACCTGCTTAAAAGTCTTACTCACATCGGCTACGGAGAGCGTGATCACATAGTCATCCGGAACAGCTGGTGCTCTCATGCATGCTTCAGTGTTGCTTGCCTCAAAGCGAGCATAGAAGTGATTTAGCTCGTCTGGTAGGCTTGTGTCACTGGGCAGCTCGCGGCTGTGCTTCCCTTTGTAGTCTGTAATAGTTTTCAAGCCCTGCCACATCCGACGAGCGTCAGAGCAGGTGTAGTACGATTCAATCTTAGTCCTGTATTGACTCTTTGCCTGTTTGATGGTTCGTCGGAGGGCATAGCGGGATTTCTTATAAGCGTCCGGGTTAGAGTCCCGCTCCTTGAAAGAGGCAGCTCTACCCTTTAGCTCAGTGTGGATGTTTCCTGTAATCCATGGCTTCTGGTTGGGGTATGTACGTACGGTCACTGTGGGGACGACATCATCGATGCACTTATTGATGAAGCCAGTGACTGATGTGGTGTACTCCTCAATGCCATCGGAAGAATCCCGGAACATATTCCAGTCTGTGCTAGCAAAACAGTCTTGTAGCTTAGCATCTGCGTCATCTGACCACTTTTTTTATTAACCGAGTCAATGGTGCTTCCTGCTTTAGTTTTTGCTTATAAGCAGGAATCAGGAGGATAGAGTTATGGTCAGATTTGCCAAATGGAGGGCGAGGGAGAGCCTCTGTGTGTGGAGTAAAGGTGGTCTAGAGTTTTCTTTCCCTCTGGTTGCACATTTAATATGCTGGTAGAAATGAGGTAGAATGGATTTAAGTTTCCCTGCATTAAAGTCCCCGGCCACTAGGAGCGCTGCCTCTGGATGAGCGTCTTCCTGTTGACTTATGGCCTTATACAGTTCATTCAGTGCAATCTTAATGCCAGCATTGGTTTGTTGTGGTAAATAGACAGCTATGAAAAATATAGATGAAAACTCTCTTGGTAAATAGTGTGGTCTACAGCTTATCATGAGATACTCTACCTCAGGCGAGCAAAACTTAGAGACTTCCTTAGTATTTGATTTTGTGCACCAGCTGTTGTTTACAAATATACACAGACCACCACCCCTTGTCTTACCGGAGTCAGCCGTTCTATCCTGCCGATGTAGCGTATAGCCCGCTAGCTGTATGTTGTCCATGTCTTCGTTCAGCCACGACTCGGTGAAACATAAGATATTACAGTTTTTAATTTCCCGTTGGTAGGATAACCGTAATCTTAGGTCATCCAATTTATTCTCAAATGATTGAAGATTGGCTAATAGGATTGATGGAAGAGGCAGTTTACTTGCTCGCCGTCGGATCCTTACAAGGCACCCCGATCTACGTCCACGATATCTCCGTCTCTTCCTCATGCGAATGACAGGGATTTGGGCCTTGTCTGGTGTCCGTAGGATATCCTTTGCAGCCGCCTCGTTGAAGAAAAAAATATTCGTCCAATACGAGGTGAGTAATCGCTGTCCTGATATCCAGAAGCTCTTTTTGGTTATAAGAGACGATGGCAGAAACATTATGTACAAAATAAATTACAAATAACGCGGAAAAACACACATTATAGTACAATTGGTTAGAGGGCTGTAAAACGGCAGCCATCTTCTCCGGCGCCATTATCATCAAGGCAAAGATCTGGAGAAGGGTACCAAAACATTTCTGCAGCATTGAAGGTCCCCAAGAACACAGTGGCCTCCATCATTCTTAAATGGAAGAAGTTTGGAACTACCAAGACTCTTCCTAGAGTTGGCCACCCAGCCAAACTGAGCTATCGGGGGAGAAGGGCCTTGGTCAGGGAGGTGACCAAGAACCCGATGGTCACTCTAACAGAGCTCTAGAGTTCCTCTGTGGAGATGGGAGAACCTTCCAGAAGGACAACCATCTCTACAGCACTCCACCAATCAGGCCTTTATGGTAGAGTGGCCATGACAGCCCACTTGGAGTTTGCCAAAAGGCACCTAATGACTCTCAGACCATGAGAAACAAGATTATCTGGTCTGATGACACCAAGATTGAACAAAAACCTGCTCCAGAGCGCTCAGGACCTCAGACTGGGACGAAGGTTCATCTTCCAAAAGGACAAAAACCCTAAGCACACAGCCAAGACAATGCAGAAGTGGCTTCAGAACAAATCTCAATGTCCTTGAGTAGCCCAGCCAGAGCCCGGACTTGAACCCGATCGAACATCTCTGGAGAAAATAGCTGTGCAGCGATGCTCCCCATCCAACCTGACAGAGCTTGAGAGGATCAGCAGAGAAGAATGGGAGAAACTCCCCAAATACAGGTGGGCCAAGCTTGTAGCGTCATACCCAAGAAGACTCGGGGCTGTAATCGCTGCCAAAGGTGCTTCAACAAAGTACTGAGTAAAGGGTCTAAATACTTATGTAAATGTTATAATTGGAATACATTTGCAAAAAGTTATAAAACCTATTTTCGCTTTCTTATTATGGGGTATTGTGTGTAGATTGATGAGGGGGAAAAAACAATTTAATCAATTTGAGAATAAGCCTGTAACGTAACAAAATGTGGAAAAGGTCAAGGGGTCTGAATACTGTAGATCTTCAATATAAGAATCACTACAAAACTTATTGTATGACCTCTTATACGCTATATTAGGCCCAGCCTTTGGAACTTTGGTTTTCCTAGATATGGCTACTATATTGTGATCACTACATCTGATGGATCTGGATACTGCTTTAGAGCAGATTTCTGCAGCATTAGTAAAGATATGATCAATACATGTGGATGATTTCATTCCTGTGCTGTTTATAAATACCCTGGTAGGCTGACTGATAACCTGAACCAGGTTGCAGGCACTAGTTACAGTTTGAATATTTTTCTTGAGTGGGCAGCTTGATGAAAGCCAGTCAATATTTAGGTCACCCAGAAAATAGATTCAATAGATTCATGTTACTGCCATCTATAGTGAAGCTGCCATCTATAGTGAAGCTGCCATCTATAGTGAAGCTGCCATCTATAGTGAAGCTGCCATCTATAGTGAAGCTGCCATCTATAGTGAAGCTGCCATCTACAGCGAAGCTGCCATCTATAGTGAAGCTGCCATCTACAGTGAAGCTGCCATCTACAGTGAAGCTGCCATCTACAGCGAAGCTGCACTTCTCAAATAGTGGAAGTACAGGTAAGATACTTGACCACTCACAAGCTTTGATGTTTATAACTACTTATCACAGGGAATATATAGTTTACAAATAGAACAGAAAACATAGGATGGTAAATTATAACCAGGTTAAAGTAAGATGATATTGCAACAACTAAAAACACTGACCACATTTTACAGTATACAGTATCATGTGTCTCTGTCTCTCTCTGTGTATCCATGTCTCTCTCTGTGTCTCTGTGCACTCTCTGTGCACTCTCTGTCTCCGTGTCTCCGTGTCTCCCTGTCTCCGTGTCTCCCTGTCTCCCTGTCTCCCTGTCTCCCTGTCTCCGTGTCTCCGTGTCTCCCTGTCTCCGTGTCTCCCTGTCTCCCTGTCTCCCTGTCTCCCTGTCTCCCTGTCTCCCTGTCTCCCTGTCTCCGTGTCTCCGTGTCTCCGTGTCTCCCTGTCTCCCTGTCTCCCTGTCTCCCTGTCTCCGTGTCTCCCTGTCTCCCTGTCTCCCTGTCTCCGTGTCTCCCTGTCTCCCTGTGTCTCCCTGTGTCTCCCTGTGTCTAGTTGTGCTGTTTCTCTCTCTCTCTCTCTCTCTCTCTACTTCATGACTATCATGTGACTAGAGACTGCTCTTTCAGCTCCACATTATTACAGCTCTTTGCTGTTCAGTTTCTGCCTCAACACTCTGCCTCAGCCCTGTTGGCTCCAGATCTCTGAGACGCTACGCAACTCGCAGTAAATAAATCTCAACAGGCCTTTTAACCATTCTAATGGGACTAATTGGCATTCATGAAGCAGTATCTTGCCTCTACCCTCACTGGCACAAACAGACCAATTCAGACAGCCAGAAGGCCCTGGCTGCTGTTAACCATAACTTGCCCATTGTAACATCATTCTGAGGGACAACGTCTATCATTGTGTTATGCTGTGCATGTACAGTTGAAGTCGTAAGTTTACATACACCTGAGCCAAATACATTTAAACTCAGTTTTTCACAATTCCTGACATTTAATCCTAATAACAATTCTCTGTCTTAGGTCAGTTAGGATCATCACTTTATTTTAAGAATGTGAAATGTCAGAATAATAGTAGAGAGAATGATTTATTTCAGCTTTTATTTCTTTCATCACATTCCCAGTAGGTCAGAAGTTTACATACACTCAATTAGTATTTGGTAGCATTGCCTTTAAATTGTTTAACTTGGGTCAAACGTTTCGGGTAGCCTTCCACAAGCTTCCCGCAATAAGTTGGGTGAATTTTGGCCCATTCCTCCTGACAGAGCTGGTGTAACTGAGTCAGGTTTGTAGGCCTCCTTGCTCGCACATGCTTTTTCAGTTCTGCCCACAAATGTTCTATAGGATTGAGGTCAGGGCTTTGTGATGGCCACTCCAATACCTTGACTTTGTTGCCCTTAAACCATTTTGCCACAACTTTGGAAGTATGCTTGGGGTCATTGTCCATTTGGAAGATCAATTTGCGACCAAGCTTTAACTTCCTGACTGATGTCTTGAGATGTTGCTTCAATATATCCACGTAATTTTCCTTCCTCATGATGCCATCTATTTTGTGAAGTGCACCAGTCACTCCTGCAGCAAAGCAGCCCCACAGCATGATGCTGCCACCCCCGTGCTTCACGGTTGGGATGGTGTTCTTCGGCTTGCAAGCAACCCCCTTTTTCCTCCAAACATAACGATGGTCATTGTGGCCAAACAGTTCTATTTTTGTTTCATCAGACCAGAGGACATTTCTCCAAAAAGTACGATATTTGTCCCCATGTGCAGTTGCAAACCGTAGTCTGGCTTTTTTATGGCGGTTTTGGAGCAGTGGCTTCTTCCTTGCTGAGTGGCCTTTCAGGTTATGTCGATATAGGACTCATTTTACTATGGATATAGATACTTTTGTACCCGTTTCCTCCAGCATCTTCACAAGGTCCTTTGCTGTTGTTCTGGGATTGATTTGCACTTTTCGCACCAAAGTACGTTCATCTCTAGGAGACAGAACGCGTGTCCTTCCTGAGCGGTATGACGGCTGCGTGGTCCCATGGTGTTTATACTTGCGTACTATTCTTTGTACAGATGAACGTGGTACCTTCAGGCGTTTGGAAATTCCTCCCAAGGATGAACCAAACTTGTGGAGGTTTCTGTTTTTTTTCCTGAAGTCTTGGCTGATTTCTTTTGATTTTCCCATGATGTCAAGCAAAGAGGCACTGAGTTTGAAGGTAGGCCTTGAAATACATCCACAGGTACACCTCCAATTGACTCAGATGATGTCAATTAGCCTATCAGAAGCTTCTAAAGCCATGACATCATTTTCTGGTATTTTCCAAGCTGTTTAAAGGCACAGTCAACTTAGTGTATGTAAACTTCTGACCCACTGGAATTGTGATACAGTGAATTATAATTGAAATAATCTGTCTGTAAACAATTATTGGAAAAATTACTTGCACAAAGTAGATGTCCTAACCGACTTGCCAAAACTATAGTTTGTTAAAAATAAATGTGTGAAGTGGTTGAAAAACAAGTTTTAATGACTCCAACCTAAGTGTTTGTAAACTTCCCACTTCAACTGTATTTCCTGCTTTGTTGCTCAGAAGCTGCATGGATATAAATCATTGAAGTTAAATATAAAGAAACAAGTCAAAGCCTGTTAGATAACTATTGTTAAAGGATAAATATCAGCTCTGTGTTTTACTAGGATTTGGATTTGTATTTATTAGGGATCCCCATTAGCTGCTGCCAAATGTTTAATACCACCATACAACAATATCACAATGTGTGCGTATGCATGTATCTATACCCTTGTGTGTGTCTCTTCACAGTCCCTGTTGTTCCATAAGATGTATTTTTTACCTGTTTTTTTTTTATCTTGCATCAGTTACCTGATGTGGAATAGAGTTCCATGTAGTCATGGCTCTATGTAGTACTGTGCGCCTCCCATAGTCTATTCTGGACTTGGGGACTGTGAAGAGACCTCTGGTGGCATGTCTTGTGGGGTATGCATGGGTGTCTGAGCTGTTTGATAGTAGTTTAAACAGACAGCTCGGTACATTCAGCTTGTCAACACCTCTTACAAAAACAAGTAGTGATGAAGTAAATCTCTCTTCCAGGAGAGATTGACATGCATATTATTAATGTTAGTGCTCTGTGTACATCTAAAGGCCAGCCGTGCTGCCATGTTCTAAGCCAATTGCAATTTTCCCAAGTCCCTCTTTGTGGCACCTGACCACACTACTGAACAGTAGTCCAGGTGCAACAAAACTACGGCCTGTAGGACCTGCCTTGTTGATAGTGTTGTTAAGGCAGAGCAGAGCTTTATTATGGACAGACTTCTCCCCATCTTAGCTACTGTTGTATCAATATGCTTTGACCATGACAGTCTACAATCCAGGGTTACTCCAAGCAGTTTAGTCTCCACAATTTCCACATTATTCATTACGACATGTAGTTGAGGTTTAGGGTTTAGTGAATGATTTGACCCAAATACAATGCTTTTAGTTTTAGAAATATTCAGGACTAACTTATTCCTTGAAATACTTTATATAAATATTCAGACCCTTTCCTCAGTACTTTGTTGAAGCACCTTTGGCAGCGATTACAGCCTCGAGTCTTCTTGGGTATGATGCTACAAGCTTGGCACACCTGTATTTGGGGAGTTTCTCCCATTCTTCTCTGCAGATCCTCTCAAGCTCTGTCAGGTTGGATGGGGAGCGTCGCTGCACAGTTATTTTCAGGTTTCTCCAGAGATTGTCGATCGGGTTCAAGTCTGGGCTCTGGCTGGGCCACTCAAGGACATTCAGAGACTTGTCCCGAAGCCACTCCTGCATTGTCATGGCTGTGTGCTTAGGGTTGTTGTCCTGTTGGAAGGTGAACCTTTGCCCCAGTTGGAGGTCCTGAGCAGTCTGGAGCAGGTTTTCATCAAGGATCTCTCTGTACTTTGTTCCGTTCAACTTTGCCTCGATCCTGACTAGTCTCCCAGTCCCTGCTGCTGAAAAACATCCCCACAAGTTCTGAGCAGTCCTGACGTTTCACTCAGGTCTCTCTGTCTTTGTGATGCGTGCAAGGTTTGCCTCGATCGTGACAGTTGGCAGTCCCGCTGCTAAAACAGTTCCCAATCTTGTTCATTGACCACGAATCTGTTTCCAGTTGAGATGGTTGCAGGGCGCTTCCGTGCATTGGCCATTCAGCCAAAAAGGGTTGCAATGTGGTGTTGCTGCAGTTAGACCAGAGAGTGCTTTATTCGTATGGTGCGGTGGAGAATTAAGAGGGTTAGTTGTGCATATACAGAAAGGTGCTGATTGGTGGAGCGTAGCAGTAAGGTAGTGATGCTATAATACAGTATGGTGACAGGTGGAGACAGTATATAACCAGGGGTAAGTGTGCTATAATACAGTATGGTGACAGGTGGAGACAGTATAACCAGGGGTAATGATGCTATAATACAGTATGGTGACAGGTGGAGACAGTATAACCAGGGGTAGTGATGCTATAATACAGTATGGTGACAGGTGGAGCAGTATAAACCAGGGGTAATGTGCTATAATACAGGGACAGGGGAGACAGTATAACAGGGGTAGTGATGCTATAATTACAGTATTGGTGACAGGTGGAGACAGTATAAAACAGGGGTAGGTGATGCTATAATACAGTATGGTGACAGGTGGCGACAGTATCAACCAGGGGTAGTGGTGCTATAATACAGTATGGTGACAGGAGGGAGACAGTATAACCAGGGGTAGTGATGCTATAATACAGTATGGTGACAGGTTGGGACAGTATAACCAGGGGTTAGTGGTGCTATAATACAGTATGGTGACAGGTGGAGACAGTAACAGACAGTATAACCAGGGGTAGTGATGCTATAATACAGTATGGAGACAGGTGGAGACAGTATCAGGTGGAGACAGTATAACCAGGGGTAGTGATGCTATAATACAGTATGGTGACAGGTGGAGACAGTATCAGGTGGAGACAGTAACCAGGGGTAGTGGTGCTATAATACAGTATGGTGACAGGTGGAGACAGTATCAGGTGGAGACAGTATAACCAGGGGTAGTGGTGCTATAATACAGTATGGTGACAGGTGGAGACAGTATAACCAGGGGTAATGATGCTATAATACAGTATGGTGACAGGTGGAGACAGTATAACCAGGGGTAGTGATGCTATAATACAGTATGGTGACAGGTGGAGACAGTATCAGGTGGAGACAGTATAACCAGGGGTAGTGGTGGCTATAATACAGTATGGTGGACAGGTGGAGACAGTATAACCAGGGGTAATGATGCTATAATACAGTATGGTGACAGGTGGAGACAGTATACCATGGGGTAATGATGCTATAATACAGTATGGGTGACAGGTGGAGACAGTATAACCAGGGGTAGTGATGCTATAATACAGTATGGTGACAGGTGGAGACAGTATAACCAGGGGTAGTGGTGCTATAATACAGTATGGTGACAGGTGGAGACAGTATAACCAGGGGTAGTTATGTTATAATACAGTATGGTGACAGGTGGAGACAGGTGGAGACAGTATAACCAGGGGTAGTGATGCTATAATACAGTATGGTGACAGGTGGAGACAGTATCAGGTGGAGACAGTATAACCAGGGGTAGTGGTGCTATAATACAGTATGGTGACAGGTGGAGACAGTATAACCAGGGGTAGTGGTGCTATAATACAGTATGGTGACAGGTGGAGACAGTAACAGACAGTATAACCAGGGGTAGTGATGCTATAATACAGTATGGTGACAGGTGGAGACAGTATAACCAGGGGTAGTGATGCTATAATACAGTTTGGTGACAGGTGGAGACAGTATAACCAGGGGTAGTGGTGCTATAATACAGTATGGTGACAGGTGGAGACAGTATAACTAGGGGTAGTGATGCTATAATACAGTATGGTGACAGGTGGAGAGAGTAACAGACAGTATAACCAGGGGTAGTGATGCTATAACACAGTATGGTGACAGGTGGAGACAGTATAAACCAGGGGTAGTGGTGCTATAATACAGTATGGTGACAGGTGGAGACAGTATAACCAGGGGTAGTGGTGCTATAATACAGTATGGTGACAGGTGGAGAGAGTAACAGACAGTATAACCAGGGGTAGTGGTGCTATAATACAGTATGGTGACAGGTGGAGACAGTATAACCAGGGGTAGTGGTGCTATAATACAGTATGGTGACAGGTGGAGACAGTATAACCAGGGGTAGTGGTGCTATAATACAGTATGGTGACAGGTGGAGACAGTAACAGACAGTATAACCAGGGGTAGTGGTGCTATAATACAGTATGGTGACAGGTGGAGACAGTATAACCAGGGGTAGTGGTGCTATAATACAGTATGGTGACAGGTGGAGACAGTATAACCAGGGGTAGTGGTGCTATAATACAGTATGGTGACAGGTGGAGACAGTAACAGACAGTATAACCAGGGGTAGTGGTGCTATAATACAGTATGGTGACAGGTGGAGACAGTATAACCAGGGGTAGTGGTGCTATAATACAGTATGGTGACAGGTGGAGACAGTATAACCAGGGGTAGTGGTGCTATAATACAGTATGGTGACAGGTGGACAGTCAACAGTATAACCAGGGGTAGTGGTGCTATAATACCAGTATGGTGACAGGTGGAGACAGTATAACCAGGGGTAGTGGTGCTATAATACAGTATGGTGACAGGTGGAGACAGTAACAGACAGTATAACCAGGGGTAGTGGTGCTATAACTACAGTATGGTGACAGGTGGAGACAGTATAACAGGGGTAGTGGTGCTATAATACAGTATGGTGACAGTGGAGACAGTATAACCAGGGGTAGTGGTGCTATAATACAGTATGGTGACGGTGAGAAGTAACAGACAGTATAACCAGGGGTAGTGATGCTATAACACAGTATGGTGACAGTGGAGACAGTATAACCAGGGGTAGTGGTGCTATAATACAGTATGGTGACAGGTGAGAGACAGTATAACCAGGGGTAGTGTGCTATAATACAGTATGGTGACAGGTGGAGACAGTATAACCAGGGGTAGTGGTGCTATAATACAGTATGGTGACAGGTGGAGACAGTATAACCAGGGGTAGTGATGCTATAATACAGTATGGTGACAGGTTGGAGACAGTATAACCAGGGGTAGTGGGTGCTATAATACAGTATGGTGACAGGTGGAGACAGTATAACCAGGGGTAGTGGTGCTATAATACAGTATGGTGACAGGTGGAGACAGTATAACCAGGGGTAGTGATGCTATAATACAGTATGGTGACAGGTGGAGACAGTATAACCAGGGGTAGTGGTGCTATAATACAGTATGGTGACAGGTGGAGACAGTATAACCAGGGGTGAAAGTAGAATTCACTTCCTTCCACTACGGACCTCCTATATGGTGCACGTGCACCAAATCCTTTTATGGGCCTAATCATATAATTCCATATAGAATCCCCATTAATTCAACATGATCTCTGTGGGCCTAGTCGTAAAGATTTGTCATTTAACTGTAAAAAATGTATTACCTTTTATTGTGGCATGAACACAACAAGTCATGATGTTTTCATCTGATTGTCAAACAATCACTTCACAGTTCTCCTTTACTAGACTACTCACTCACCTTCATCCACTCAACAGGCAACATGGCAGTGTTCTCATCGAACCACTTCATCCACTCAGCCTCCAAACAGTGGAGGCAACATGGCAGTGTTCTCATCGAACCACATCGCATTTTAGAGTGGAGGCTATGCCACCTGTTTCATGCCTCTGACATGCGGTAATGACTCTGACAAGACCTCTGAAAACAACACACAGGTCAAGTGGGCCCTGGTCAAAGGTAGAGTACCATGTTGGATGCATTCACAGGGTTAAGAAGCTGCATGGTATTTACCTGTGACGTTAATTGGGATGACGCAGGATGTGATGACTTGTGAGTCTCTCTTCATCCTCTCCTGAGGTGTGGGCAGTGGGAGAACTCTGGACCAGTTAGTCTGCTTGTCCAGCGTGGAGGGAACGTTAGGGACAGGGTGCCGGGGTCGTTGGCCAAGACGCTCAGGGTCAGAGGGAGTACCAGCCTGGAACAGAGAGACAGTAAGTGGTGGTTACGGTTAGGGTCAGGGGTTGAAGGTTAGGGTCAGGGGTTGACGGTTAGGGTCAGGGGTTGAAGGTTAGGGTCAGGGGTTGAAGGTTAGGGTCAGGGGTTGACGGTTAGGGTCAGGGGTTGAAGGTTAGGGTCAGGGGTTGACGGTTAGGGTCAGGGGTTGACGGTTAGGGTCAGAGGTTGAAGGTTGAAGGTTAGGGTCAGGGGTTGAAGGTTAGGGTCAGGGGTTGAAGGTTAGGGTCAGGGGTTGACGGTTAGGGTCAGGGGTTGACGGTTAGGGTCAGGGGTTAAAGGTTAGGGTCAGGGGTTGAAGGTTGAAGGTTAGGGTCAGGGGTTGAAGGTTAGGGTCAGGGGTTGAAGGGTAGGGTCAGGGGTTGATTAGGGTCAGGGGTTGATTAGGGTCAGGGGTTGATTAGGGTCAGGGGTTGACGGTTAGGGTCAGGGGTTGACGGTTAGGGTCAGAGGTTGAAGGTTGAAGGTTAGGGTCAGGGGTTGAAGGTTAGGGTCAGTGGTTGAAGGTTAGGGTCAGTGGTTGAAGGTTAGGGTCAGGGGTTGACGGTTAGGGTCAGGGGTTGACGGTTAGGGTCAGGGGTTGAAGGTTAGGGTCAGGGGTTGAAGGTTAGGGTCAGGGGTTGAAGATTAGGGTCAGGGGTTGAAGGTTAGGGTCAGGGGTTGAAGGTTAGGGTCAGGGGTTGAAAATTAGGGTCAGGGGTTGACGGTTAGGGTCAGGGGTTGACGGTTAGGGTCAGTGGTTGACGGTTAGGGTCAGGGGTTGAAGGTTAGGGTCAGGGGTTGAAGGTTAGGGTCAGGGGTTGAAGATTAGGGTCAGGGGTTGATTAGGGTTATGTTAAGGTTACTATAGCTGGGTTACAGCAGAGTTACATGCAGAGGGTTAGGGTTATTTTCATTGGTCCATATAGTGATTGAATAAAAACATTATCACAGTTAGTAGTGTCCTACAACATGCACAAAGACAACATTTCAACTATCTATAAAACATTTTTACTTCATGCAGGGCCAAAACCTGAGACAGAGAACCATAACACACAAACACATTAATTGAGCTTCATGTGATGCACAACACATTTAGGTCTGGCATTGGAAGACAGTTCCTCCACAGTCAGAGGATCATCAGACAGACATAACACTACAGGAAAAGGTATCAAGAGGGATAGATGTACTGTATGTAACTGATATACAGTGAGGGAAAAAAGTATTTGATCCCCTGCTGATTTTGTACGTTTGCCCACTGACAAAGAAATGATCAGTCTATAATTTTAATGGTAGGTTTATTTGAACAGTGAGAGACAGAATAACAAAAAAATCCAGAAAAACTCATGTCACAAATGTTATAAATTGATTTGCATTTTAATGAGGGAAATAAGTATTTGACCCCCTCTAAAACAGAAAGATTTCTGGCTCCCAGGTGTCTTTTATACAGGTAACGAACTGAGATTAGGAGCACACTCTTAAAGGGAGTGCTCCTAATCTCAGTTTGTTACCTGTATAAAAGACATCTGTCCACAGAAGCAATCAATCAGATTCCAAACTCTCCACCATGGCCAAGACCAAAGAGCTCTCCAAGGATGTCAGGGACAAGATTGTAGACCTACACAAGGCTGGAATGGGCTACAAGACCATCGCCAAGCAGCTTGGTGAGAAGGTGACAACAGTTGGTGCGATTATTCGCAAATGGAAGAAACACAAAAGAACTGTCAATCTCCCTCGGCCTGGGGCTCCATGCAAGATCTCACCTCGTGGAGTTGCAATGATCATGAGAACAGTGAGGAATCAGCCCAGAACTACACGGGAGGATCTTGTCAATTATTTCAAAGCAGCTGGGACAATTGTCACCAAGAAAACAATTGGTAACACACTACGCCGTGAAGGACTGAAATCCTGCAGCGCACGCAAGGTCCCCCTGCTCAAGAAAGCACATATACAGGCCCGTCTGAAGTTTGCCAATGAACATCTGAATGATTCAGAGAACTGGGTGAAAGTGTCGTGGTCAGATGAGACCAAAATGGAGCTCTTTGGCATCAACTCAACTCACCGTGTTTGGAGGAGGAGGAATGCTGCCTATGACCCCAAGAACACCATCCCCACCGTCAAACATGGAGGTGGAAACATTATGCTTTGGGGGTGTTTTTCTGCTAAGGGGACAGGACAACTTCACCGCATCAAAGGGATGATGGACGGGGCCATGTACAGTCAAATCTTGGGTGAGAACCTCCTTCCCTAAGCCAGGGCATTGAAAACGGGTCGTGGATGGGTATTCCAGCATGACAATGACCCAAAACACACGGCCAAGGCAACAAAGGAGTGGCTCAAGAAGAAGCACATTAAGGTCCTGGAGTGGCCTAGCCAGTCTCCAGACCTTAATCCCATAGAAAATCTGTGCAGGGAGCTGAAGGTTCGAGTTGCCAAACGTCAGCCTCGAAACCTTAATGACTTGGAGAAGATCTACAAAGAGGAGTGGGACAAAATCCCTCCTGAGATGTGTGCAAACCTGGTGGCCAACTACAAGAAATGTCTGACCTCTGTGATTGCCAACAAGGGTTTTGCCACCAAGTACTAAGTCATGTTTTGCAGAGGGGTCAAATACTTATTTCCCTCATCAATTTATAACATTTTTGACATGCGTTTTTCTGCATTTTGTTGTTGTTATTCTGTCACTCACTGTTCAAATAAACATACCATTAAAATTATAGACTGATCATGTCTTTGTCAGTGGGCAAACGTACAAAATCAGCAGGGGATCAAATACTTTTTGAAGGACACAATTATTATTTCAATTAAAAATCATTATTTCTAACCTTGTCAATGACTACATTTCCTATGCATTTTGCTATATTTCCTATTCAAACTCATTTCATGTATGTTTTCATGGAAAACAAGGACATTTCTAAGTGAGCCCAAAACTTTGAATGGGAGTGTATGATGTGTTACGAACTCAATTTGTTGTCGCTAACGTTAGCTAGGTGGCTAACACTAACGTTAGCTAGGTGGCTAACACTAACGTTAGCTAGGTGGCTAACACTAACGTCAGCTAGGTGGCTAACACTAACGTCAGCTAGGTGGCTAACACTAACGTTAGCTAGGTGGCTAACAACAGCTAGGCTAGGGGTTAGGGTTAAGGTTACTATAGCAGTCTAGTCCCTCCACCCTTTCCTCTTGTAACCTGAAGGTTTGGATCCTAATCAACCCATCCAATGGGAGGTCAGAACGCTTGGATCAACCCTACTGCAGTCTAGTCCCTCCACCCTTTCCTCTTGTAACCTGAAGGTTTGGATCCTAATCAACCCATCCAATGTGAGGTCAGAACGCTTGGATCAACCCTACTTTTACTACTATAGCAGTCTAGTCCCTCCACCCTTTCCTCTTGTAACCTGAAGGTTTGGATCCTAATCAACCCATCCAATGTGAGGTCAGAACGCTTGGATCAACCCTACTTTTCGGCCAGAGCGTCAAGTGTGCGCTCTGAACGTTCCGAGAGCGAAACGCTCTGAGTTTACGAACGCCCAGAGCGCACTCCTGATTAAATCTGGCACTCCAGATTAAATTTACAAACACACCCGTAGTATACACCAGCCTTTAGTCTTGAAATCTTTTGTTGTTTAGTACACTACTCACTCTGTTTAGCACATGGCCTCACATGTGAATCCTTAAAGAGATGGGTGGGGCTAAAGCTTTTAAGAGGGTGTGAACGAAGCTGAATGGGTGTAGACAAAGAAGAGCTCTCATGTAGGTACCAAAACATTCAAGGGCTATTTTCTCAAAAGTGAGGTTACAAGTTTATCAACTTTCAAAGCAGAATTACTTTCCCATTGTTACTCAACTGTAGTGTATGATATACGATTTTCTAGCTCTGAGTCTCTACTTTTATCCAATGTATAAAAAATGTTTTTGCTACGTAAGACCGAATCGAGCCAGTCGGTCACATTTTGTTACATTACATCATTTTTCTAAAATGGATTAAATATAATGTTTTCCTCAATCTACACACCATACCCCATAATGACAAAGAGAAACAGTAAAAAAAATAATAATGTTAGCTGTTACTGCACTGTTGGAGCATTTCGCTGCACCTGTGATAACATCTGCTAAATATGTGTATGCGACCAATAACATTTTATTTTGATTTGAAGACTGAGGAGTACAGGTACAGTACCTTGGTCTAAGAGAGAGAGGAGTTGGGCCGAGGGCAGGTGGGTCACCGGAGGATTCACAGACATACATGTTTATATGTGATCATGTTTTAGTGTAACAGAGTTCAGAACATGCTCACTCCACAGCTAGCTCGAAATGTCGCAGATGAAGCCATCCAATTGGAGCCAGATGGAGCCATCCAATTGGAGCCAGATGGAGCCATCCAATTGGAGCCTGATGGAGCCATCCAATTGGAGCCATCCAATTGGAGCCAGATGGAGCCATCCAATTGGAGCCAGATGGAGCCATCCAATTGGTTCCTTTTGGGTGGCTCAAACAGTTGGTAAGTTGTCAAGGAGGACAGTCGTGTGTTTGCGAGCAGGGGATCACTGGTTGGAGTCCAGTGTGGGACAGGGACAATGGAGGAAGATATACTGTTTTTGCATTAGCACTACACACCTGATTCAAATCATCAACACTTGATGATAAGTTGATCATTTTAATCGGCTGTGTAGTGCTGGGGCAAAGACAAACATGTTCTCCCCTTTGGGTCCCCAGGACCAGGATTAAGAAACACTGTTCTATCTAGACTAATCCCATTCCCCACCTCACCTCTCCCTGGCTACTGTATGTAGACATGATCCAACTCTGTGAACACACTGACTATCCTTCAATGGATGTTTGTTACGTGTACCT